TAAAGGTCAGAGCGACCTACTTTTTGTGCGCGACACACCTTCTACCCAAGATGCATCAGATGACAAAGTTTGATAATCCTAGGCCTAGTAGTATTAAAGTTATGAGCCGGAAACGAAAAAGCTAACAGACAGACGGACAGACAGACAGCTAGACAGACGGACGGACACGAAGCCTATAACATAATACGTCCCGTCTTAAGACGGGCGTATAAAAAGGCATTATTACACCTTTTTAAAAGGCGTTTTAACGCCTTTCTAAAAATCGTTTTAATGCTATTCTAAACGGCGTTATTATGCCTTTCCAAAAGGGTTATTACGCTTTTTTAATAACTATTATTTTGCATCTAACAGGCCTGTGCTTCTAAAGCCTCCCCCTCCCAACCACCACCACCCCCCACTCTACTGGCCAAACTCCTGGGTGACTTCTCGGTAAAACTTTGTTTAAATGCAATAATTTGCCACAGTTGTACACACTGCAACAAAATGATCAGGAACCAAGCAACCAACAGTTAATTATAATATTTATACTGTAGCAAGACTTTTCCCCAAAAAGTGTGTATGTGTGGTGGGGGATGGGTTACCCCATTTGCACTCGTACTACTGGCCTACTTGAAAAGGAAAATGGAAAGGCGTTATTTTTATGTTAATAAATATATGAAAGATTTAATTAAAACAATCTTTATTTAAGCAATTCTCTATATTCATGCACATCTCACTGACAACTCGTTGCATTCATATTAAGAGAAGGCAACACTCTACTTGTGAAGATACGATATACTAGTAGGGAAATGTATCTTGGAGCTTTGCTTGCCATGTATTAAAATTCATGTCATTTGAAGATATTTTTCTCTCTTCTTGGAAAGAAGCAAGCAGACTATTTGCTATCTATTTAAATTATTTTTTGAGAAATTAGTCCTATATCTACTTGTGATATTCATGTATTCCCAAAGGTAAGATTTCTGCACACCTCATCAGTTGGGCTAAATATGTTTAGTCATGTATTGAAAATAAAAGGCGTAATAACGCCTTTTGGAAAGGCATAATAACGCCTTTTAGAAAGGCGTAATAACGCCTTTTGGAAAGGCATAATAACGCGTTTTAAAAAGGCGTAATAACGCCTTTTTAGAAAGGTGTAATAACACCTTTTAGAATGGAAAGGCGTAATAATGCCTTTTGGAATGGAAAGGCATAATAACGCCTTTTCGAAAGGCGTTATTACGCCTTTTTTCGCGTTATTACGCCTTTTTGAAAGGCGTTATAACGCCTTTTAATTTTTTTCTCTCTAGATTGATCCTAATAGGCTTTCGTAATTTGCAACTTTGTCGAAAAGTCTTTCCACATAATTACTGGATTGTTATCGAAGATTTGTATGAAATAGAACAGTCATAATCGAATTCTTATTAAGATTTATAAGCAGTATTAAATCTCTTGCAAGTAATAAAAAAAATTATCAGTCAAAGAGGGGTTTTCTCTCAGCAGGATCTTTTGTGCATACCCAAACTAGTCGTTTGATAAAATATAATTGTCAATACCTACTTTGTCGAAAAGTCCTTTTACATATGTACTGGATTGTTAATTAAGCTTTTTATGAATCCGGATAAAAAAATCCACCCAGGCAATCTGTTTTGTAAATTGACTAATCTTCAAAACACAAAATGAGAAACACATGGAATTTGTACTGTAGAGCAATGCAATAAAGTGTAGTCAACTTCTTATTTAGATAAGCAATATTCATTCTCTCGCAAATACCCCCCCCCCTCCACACACGCATTTATGTCAACTAGGATTACTCATTTTTTCTGGATGTTTTGCGCATATAAACAGTACTGATGCGCATGCAAATAAAAACAATCACTCAGCAAGCACTCCTGGTGAAACTGGAGGGGATTTGAGGTTTCCTTTAAGTCTGTCTGTCTGTCCCCTTTTTTCTGCACATTTCCCCAAATGCTTTAAGATATTGCGCTGATTTTTGGTACGTAATAGTGTCTTTATAAGTTACAGATAATATTTATATTTCATTCCGCTTCAATGATTTTCGAGTGACTTATGGCCTATTTAATTTTGAAACAATTTTTGTACTGTTCTCCTAAATGCTTGCAGATATAGAGCTGATTTTTGCTATGCGAGTGTATCTTGATGAGTTACAGATCAAAATTACATTTTGTACCACTTCTATAAATTACAGCCTTTTTAATGGGAACCAGATGGAATAGTATAGCTAAAGCAATACTCTCAGAATGCTTGTTATTCTTTGATTAATAACATTGCATTCTTGTGCAATACAATAAAGTATACATGTAGGTAAATCTGTTACATTGTTGATTGAATTTCACTCTTATAATAAACCAGAAGTCTCTGTCGAGACTGAGTATAGCTCTACTGGTTTGTACTTATAAATAAAGTGCCACGCCACAGCATGATACGCCCGTCAAAAAATTACAATTATAATGTATCTTAAACAGTTAAAAGTGCAGGAAAATCATGTCAACCTTGATTTTAAGATTTCAATGATTTTTACACACCTTAAAAAATTTGTTTATCCATCTCATGTGGTGTAGGCATTAATTATAACAAATATTGCATCATTCATAGATTTCTATACCTTGCCAAATGCCTATCATGTTAAACAATATCAAATTAATCTTCACAACTTAATCTATACCTAATTAATTTTGGAAATAAAAGGCTGGCCATCAAATATAAACTGACCAACAGTTCTTCTGTCTAATTCCCGAAGGAGACAATTAAGAGCATGCTCTGAAGTAATGAAAGAGACATGCAGCTAGCCTTCCTACATTGAACACATTAATTAATCTTTAACTGGATGCTTGTCTACTCATTACTCCCAAAAGATTATTGGATCTGCACTATCTACCATAAAACATTTTTAAAACGTATAAAACATCAATGATTTTTTTTTTTTAGATTTAATGTCAGACAGTTAATTGTTAATATGCAATTGTTAATATGCAATTCACATGGACATGCAGATTCAACCCCTACCCCCATAAAATTAATTTTTAAGTTCACAATATTATGTAATAGTTTAATATGCAATATCAAATTAGTTTTAATTACTTCTCATCAAATTCATTTTAAAACTTTGGCTATCCAAGAAGAGCTATTTTTAATCCAAAAGGCTTACCCATTTGGCCCAATACTCAAGGGATATAGATAGCACTGATGCTCTTACAGCTACTCCTCACACTAAACTCATTAATTTCTCTCTCTAATTTGACATGCAATTTTCTGTTATCAAAATTCTTCTTGACCAGTGCTTGATAATTAGACTCATGGGAGTGGTGGAATTTCTCTAACATACATTACATTTGTTATAGATTGCTGTCAAGTATATATGCTAAAAAAATAAGTATTTTCTTAATTTAACATTTTTCTAATAAGGTTAGTGCAATAGTTTTACATTTTTTTGAATGTGTAAATGAATAGAAAAAAAGACATTTCTTTTTTAAAAATTCCACTTAAATTAAAGGTCACAGTGACCTTGAAATAGGTCGCGACACACCTTCTACCTAAGATGCATAAACTGGCCAAGTTTGATGATTCTAAGTCTAATAGTTTTCTAGTTATGAACCGGACAGGATTTTTCCATATTTGGCTATAACTTTTTAATTATAGGTCAGAGCGACCTACTTTTTGTGCGCGACACACCTTCTACCCAAGATGTATCAGCTGACAAAGTTTGATAACTCTAGGCCTTATAGTATTCAAGTTATGAGCCGGACACGAGAAAAGCTAACAGACGGACAGACAGACAGACAGACAGACAGACGGACACGAAGCCTATAACATAATACGTCCCGTCTTAAGACGGGCGTATAAAAACCGATGCACAGAATTATGTATCTTAGTGTAGTCTACTTGTGTGATAAGTTATATTGAAATCAGACCAAAACTGTAGAAGGAGTAGCATTTTAAAGGAATTCCACAGAAAATTCTACTTTTAGTAACCATGGCAACACCGTTCATTGAAATCAAAACCGATGCACTATTATATGTAAATTAGTGTAGTTTATTTGTGTGCCAAGTGATAATGAAATCAGACCAAAACTGTAGAAGGAGTAGCGTTTTAAAGGAATTTCTCAGAAAATTCTATTTTTAGTAACCATTGCAACACCTCTCATCGAAATCAAAAACCGATGCACTATTTTATGTATCTTAGTGTAGTCTACTTGTGTGCCAAGTTATATTGAAATGAGACTAAAACTGTAGAAGGAGTAGCGTTTTAAAGGAATTTCTCAGAAAATTCTATTTTTAGTAACCATGGCAACATCGTTCATCGAAATCAAAAACCAATGCACTATTTCATGTATCTTAGTGTAGTCTACTTGTGTGCCAAGTTATATTGAAATCAGACCAAAACTGTAGAAGGAGTAGCCTTTTAAAGGAATTTCTCAGAAAATTCTATTTTTAGTAACCATTGCACACCGCTCATGAAATCAAAAACCGATGCACTATTTTATGTATCTTAGTGCAGTCTACTTGTGTGGCAAGTTATATTGAAATCAGACTAAAATTGTAGGAGGAGTAGCGTTTTGAAAAATTGTTTACAGACAGACGGACAGACAGACAGACGGACGGACGCCGGACGCATTACTATCGCATAAGCTCTTCTGGTCTCTGACCAGTAGAGCTAAAAATTGAATAAAAAAATCCATCCTCCATCAAAATGAAAAATAAAGATTTTCTGTAAAATTTTTATTTCAATTACAAAAAAGTTGGATTGGATAATTTGCCAGGCATCACAATGTGTTTGCAATGTATTGCAGCAGAGTCCCTTAAAAAACGTTATCATTGTTGCGATTCCAAACTGTACTGTCTGACAGGTACTAAGGTTTTTTTTAAAAAATTCGTAAAGGAATTTGGATTTTTTTTTTTTATAAATACAGTGATTGCGGTAGGCCACAAGCATGTATGGATAGCTCATGTAGCTCTCTGTACTACAAGTAAATGTTTTGATAAATTTTAGAACCAAGCCAATGCAAGTGAATCTCATGTATTTATTTTATGATATACATGTATTAACATAACAAAATGCAAGGACATTGGACTACTGTGTCTGGATCATGATACATTTTAATGTTTGTAATAAGGCTCAATTATTACGTGTGTCACTGCAGATCTTTCAGTCCTTTTCAGCTATGGCTACAAGATGCTGGTCAATTTCTTCCTCTGTTAATTTCCTGAAAAAAATGTAAGTCCTTGTTAATCACTGTGTTTAAACATAAAATACCATGCACTTTAAGCATCTGGGACAATATCACTTCTTAATTTGACATTATATTGAAATCATTTGTGAATGCATCTTCAAGATTCTCCGTTTACCATTACACCCCCTTAGCCCCCTCTGGAAATAGATGTCCAAGAAAAAAATATTTCATTGAAGATCGATATAAACAGATAAATGGCAAATAAATGATGTCACAAATAAAATTAGGTTTACATTACATGTACAGCTTACTCCACTTATATTGAACTCGCTTATTTTGAAATTCCGCTTATTTTGAAATAGAAATAAATCCCCAGTTTTAGCCTCTCATATTCTTTGCATTAAAATAACGGTTATATTGAAATCGGATATATTGAAATTTCGCTTATATTGAAGCCACTGATCGGTCCCCACAGGTGAAAATGAGTTGTTTACATAACGGTTATATTGAAGTACTCCCTGGCGGCTGTCGTTACGGTTAGTGACAGTAATTATGCCTGATTGACCAGTTGATATACAAAGGTGTGAATAAATAAGTTTTTACCAAATATGTGTTTTTATACTGCATGCTCTTGTGAAAAAAAATTCTTTACTGTTAAATTCTTTGCGTCCACGTATATAATACGGACATATCGAGACTAAAAAGCTAAATGTAATTTAGTAACCCCCACAGATCTAGGAAAAACATAACTTTGAAATTAAATACGTACTGTTAATGGCTATTGATATGCCTAAATTCGAAATAACTTCGGGATCCCGAGTACACTTACGATGAAATACAAGCAGCGTTCAGCAGTACTCATCTGTTTAAGTCCGGTGAATTTTCTCCAAAACGTAAAGAAATGTGATTGGGGAATAATAATGAGGTTGAAGATTGTCTTTTCAATGAAACAGAAATAAAAAAAAAATTTAAACTTTGAAGGACTCATATTCTATGTAATCTGTTCACTGTTATAGATAAACGATGACAAAATTAATTTGTTTGGGTTTGTTCTTCTTTATTTTAGATCGGGATTGAACTTGTAAAAATGGCGGCTTCACGATTTCGCTTATATTGAATTACGGATATATTGAAATAATTTGCATGGTCCCCTGAATTTCAATATATCCGGAGTAGGCTGTACATCTATTAGTATATGGCTGTACATACTTGAATCGTTGACTCTCCGCAGTCACCACTCCCACTTCTATCTCTGACGACTTGAAGTCTGCAGAGAGCACTGTTGATAGGCAGGTAATAGCAACCTGAAATTAATAAAAAAAGAACATCTATAAACTTTTTATCTGATTCACTCATCTGTTGTTCCAGTTTTTCGGCTATTTACATGTCAGTTACCAAGAATTTTTTGTGCCACCTGAAAATGCATGCCAACATTTGACAAATAAGTTCAAAATTCTGAATCTTTTATAGCATGCTATATAATTGATAAGTAATACTTCTGAGGAATTTGTAACATTAAGATGCTTTTCTATGAAGTCTGCAAAAGGAGCACTGCAGGAGTTACCTCTCATAAGCCATATCAAAATTTGTAACAAATTTTGCCTCACTATTTGATAAACTAGCATATCAAATTTGAATGTTAAATGTCAAATAGGATAAGAATCAAAAGAAAAACATTACATATATATGTAAACAACATGTTCAAACTTGGGAGGAATATCATTGCTTCTTTACAGTTTCAAGTATTTCAAGTGTTACATAGAGAACTTTGTCAGCAACTCGTTAAGATTTTATAAAATAGGTTAATGAACCCTTACCTCCACTGCCTCATTATATGTAAAGTCTTGCTTTTTCTTGATTTTCTTTTCCAGGAAACTGTTGGCCTCTAGCTGTTTGACCCCTGCTGATGTAGCTTTATAACCAGAATAGTAGCCAGCAGGATCTGTCTTAAAGACCTGTGGTCCATACTCTGCATCATAGCCTATCACAATCATACCTAGCAATAAACAAGTTAATATTATAGTACATCTGTATCTTAATAAAAACATTTTTCTATTTGAAATACTGTCAGCATTGTTAATCTAGAGCAAGTATTCCTGATTTGAAAGATGAAGTGTCTGGATTATTGACACCCAGATCAATCAGATTCCAATGTATTCAACAAAAGTGAATTAATGAAAAAGTTCAGGGAAAAACAGTCATCATCCCAAATAGACTTCCAAGAGTATACATTTAGCTACAATATAAGATGCTGTGTATCTTTTTCCCTCATCAGGAATACTAACGAAAATCTACTATACTTGTATTAGTGTAGACCAACTTTTATTCCTCATCCAAAATGCAAACTTCTTTTACTTCATGTGAATGGTTCTTGTCACAAACCATTTACAGTATTAAATTTTGAATATCTACGGACTTTTTCTTCTCTTGTTAATGTTGTAATGTACATGTGTTTTTACAGAATGTTTCTTTAGTTGATAAAATTGATAGCTGGATTCAAAATGAGGAATCCAGAGTAAAAGTAACGTTGTCATGGATAATAGTTGGTTTACAGTACATTACTGTACTATTTACAATCAGATACTCTATGGGGATCAGATCCTTTGGTAATAAAACTTTCACATACTGCAACCAAGGGGCCTCATCTCTGCACTTTGTGTGTAGACTTGAGATATGTCTGCCATTCTTTTACAGAGGACGTCCACAGGAATCTCGTATCCGTAGGTGTACTTCCATTTGGCTGCTTCATATCGCGCCCTCTGTACCTGTGATCGACTGTCAGCTGAAAATTCAAAATTAATATTAATTAATGTAATTTTAATGAGAAAATACTGCCAATTCAAAAATATAAAAGGCATTCAAATACAAAATACCTGCTACATTTCTGAAATACTTACCAACCATGCCTGTCATAACACAGCCTAGATTTTCTGTCAGCTGAAATAAATGGGTCACTGTGTCGGCATCCAATAATTTGTCCTGAAAGAAGTTTATAAAATAAATGTAATAGAGGATTGGTAACACTACCAGTTTAAACTTGAAATAGATTAGTGCAGGTGAATTTATGAGATTTGGCTTGCTTTCTGAATTTTGAATTATCCAATTGGATCTGAACTCCATTGCAAGGGGATAACAAAACATAATTATTAATCAATTATGTTTCGTAGATCACTAAATTTTCGTGACACCCTAATTTTTGCAAAATAGTCATTGACTCTTTAATAGCGAAATAAAATTTCCACGAATTGTGGTTATATACTATTACATGCGAAAATGAAATTTTTGCAAGCATATTGTCTCGTGTAATTACGTGAAAATAAAGTTCTCTCAAATAAAAAGTGATTTACAGTAATTCTTATAAACAAGAGGAAATACTAAAAAAAAAATGGAAGATTAAATAAAGGGTTAACAGACAGATGGACCCCTGGCTTACTTACAGGCACTTTCTTCTGGGTGACCACTACAGCACAGTCCTTTCCCCTGATGGCAACAGAAGTCAGCCCTCCTTGGTTTATGGCTTTAAATGCATATTCTGAAATGCAAAATAGTTTATAGAGAAGTGTCCTGGTAAAGCATTCATGTCACACTGACTTCTCTCCATTGTGATCCAATTTTTTTATGCCAGTGATGGCCACTGATTGTATGTGAGAGGTTAAAGTGGTCCACTACTAAGACATGCAAGTTTTATCTAGTTTCCTCTCAAGCAATGACCTCTTTGGAAATAAGTTTTCAAGGGCTTTCCTTGATATCCTGTATGTATTAACATGTACATTGTATGTGTGAACTAAATTAACATTTTTTTTTTACAATCACTAGATTTAGCCAAGTAGCCTGAATTACATATACAGCAAAACTTATAACGAAGTCACTGGGACCTATGAAATTACTTCACTATATCCATAATTCATTATATCCGCATTAGAAATTCATTAGATTTCTATAGCTGGGGATCCAAGATGACTTCGCTATATCCATGAATTCGCAATATCTGTGTTCCGACTAAACAAGTTTTACTGTATAGCCTTATTTAGCTAATAAATTATGCTTTACTTATTTCTTAGGGGCCTATTTGGTTTTTATTGAGCTATACTTTGTGCAGCATAGTTTGTTCTCATTGTTGTTTAACATTCCTCTCAAGATTTTTAACTCATATGGAGATTAAAGACACCATCATTTGCAGATGGAGGGCTACAAGCTTTGACCTACACTCTGCACTATTGGCCATTGAGCAGTGAGGGATCTTTTTTGTGTCAGCATCTAATGTGACACAGGACCTCTGTTTATACAGTCTCATCTAAAGGACCAGTCTTCAAGTCTTGGTGTAGGATTCACACAAGCGAGGTAAGGATCAACTCTTTACTCTAAAGTAAAGCAGATGCTCTAATCATTGCACCACACGGACAGCATGCAGCATAGTAAAATAAAGCTTATTAATTAATTTATCAGATTAATTAATACTAAGAAATTAGAGGTTGAAAAATAAAATTACAGTGAAACCTGTCTCATCCAACATGCACTGGAGATAAATTTTGTGTCAGAATAGACAGGGTGTTGGATTGCACGTGTAAAAAACATGGAAAATAGTAACATGGGAAAGAAATTCACAGTGTGTCGGACTGCACATGTGTCGTAATAGACATTTTTTACAGTACTAATAAAAATCAAACATTTTAATTTTAACGATTTTGTTTTATGGTACCTTTAGATGCAGACAATTATGAAAACATTTTTCATAAAATTGATAATTCAAATAGTGACTGTGATATCACAACAAGCCCTTTTAAATCTTGGGCTCATTTGGGCCAATATGTCAATGGACCTAAATGTCCGTGGGCCAGGCCGGGGGGTGTGCAACAGTCTGCAAGAGCAGCAGAGATATTTCGAGCTAAGCCGACACACACCAGAACATTGTAAAAGATTTCAATAATTACTTACCAACTTGATAAAGTCTACCCTCTGGGGAAAAAATTGTTATGTGTCTATCGAAACCCGCACTGCTTCCACGAGACATAATGCAAACAAATCAAATCAGTATTAAGAATTCTATGACATGAATTTCACACAAATGATTTTGCTTTTTTTTTCTCTGCACAAACAGAGCTAGCTTCATAATGCAGTGCGTACTTTTCATTAACAGTAAGAAATGCTAGGAAACATTTATTAAAAATGAAAAAAAATATTTTTATTGCCAACAAAAATTTATAAAAGAGAAATTAGCAACGTAAATTAAAATGTTTTACTTAAGAGAATCTCATAGTTTCGTATTTTCTTTCTCTAGAGTTGGATAAAACTAGTAAAATTCCAATTACAATTTAAGAATGTTGAATCGATTTCCTAGGAATGTCCACTATGAAATATTATCCATTATCTTTACAATATTTTTTTTCTATGATATATAGATATTTACTTATCTATAAAATACCTACCAACACTGAGACAAAAAAATATAATTGATTGTTCACCTGTACAAACTACTTTTACACTATCTTCTGACAACAATGTGTCGGTGAAGGGAACACGTAGCGATATTTATTACTTGTGCCTTTTTGTGTCAGGTAAATTAATGATCGATTACCCTCTAGTTCACATGTAATGTGTGTAACAGGTTGGCCATGTGGATGGTGAAGGCCACCATATGGTATAGAAAAGTAAAAAAGTAACTTTTTAAATAACTGTAATGAAAGCGAGCCATCGCAGGTAAAGTAGGCCCTATTTATTGCAAGTCTTCTATAACAAAAATGTGCAATTGTCACAGAAGACTAAATGTTTTTACTATTTGCAGATGTATCTATATGCATTATATTTTTTACTTGTTGTTATATTTTTTGCATGAAGTCTATAATTGAACTGAAGGTCTAGACCAAAATACTTAATCATCAGAGTCATGACTGCACTGTAATTCATGAATATTTATCAGTTTATTTATAATTTTATTGTTATCAAATAGAAACAGTAGCAAATTGTGGTAGTGTAAGATACATGGCATCCTACTAGCTTGGGCTAGTGGGTTAACCCTTTAGCTCAATCGGTAGAGCACTGGACTGGCAAGCCAGAGGTCCCGGGTTTGATCCCAAGCAGAGGCAATAAAATGTCTCTGTTACAAAATGACACCATTTACTTCAATAACCCCAGGATGTAGTTACCAACAATTCTCAAATGAAATCTTGTAATCTGAGTATATAGGCCTATTAAATTTTATCCAGAACTTTTGAATGCTTGCTCTTTTCTCACCCTGAGGTCTTTTCATTCTAAGTTTTTCTGCTCATAAATTTGTGCACATAGCATTTAGCAAAAACATTTTGACTTACCTGAGTCAAAGATTTAATGAGTGAAATACATGTACACCTTGATATTTGCACTTTGGTGCTGAAACTTATTGGTGCTTTAATTTGTTTAATATATTAAAATAGGGCTATGGAAATTTGAGATTTGCTATTAGCATGATTAGAGGAAGCATTGAGGATTTCAAATTACTATATCTGTTTAAAACATTATCCTTGTCAACATCACCAATTATTTAGTTTCACGATATGTACACCAAGTTGACCAAATGAAATGTTGTCAAATCTGTTGTTTTGTTCACAGATTTAAATTAAGATTAAGATCATAAAATCTTAATTGATGTGAAACTGTGTGGGTGTAATCAATCAAATGGGTTTACATGACCCACACTTTCATGACTTTTCATTGTTAAACCTGAAAATTATGTCTGAGTACAATGAAATACATGTATATTGAGATAACAAACAGTATTCAAGCTCAAAAGTCAATTTAACAATACAAATTAGGAGACAGGGAAACACGGACCTCCAAAATATCAGAGATGGGATCAGGTGCCATGGAAGAGTGAGAATCCCCAGCCGACCAGTCACACCAGCAATGTGCTCTTTGTCATGATCATGAAATAACAGAAAATAATAGATCATCTATCCTACATCTTACTCTTTAATTCTACTGTAGTACTGACATATTTGTCTTTCACAAACAACAAACTTCAACATTATATAAGCAAGGTTCAAGCTGAAAGAGCTGAGGTGATAGGCTATATAATTCTGTTTGAGATTTAGACCATCAAGTTGTGTTAACAGTCTTTCCCAAAAGCACCGGTCCTTCGGACAAAACAGGTGAAAATCTTATTGGTCCAATGCACTATCTAGTAAAATCGGTCCATTTTTGTGTTAACTGTCTGTCCGCATGTCCTGTGGCGATTTTTCTTTTTCATGAAGACTGTGTTAAACTTTATAAATTTTTAAGATCATGTTCAATGTAAGTCATGGGTTTTAAATTACACATTTATTTTATCATTTTATATTACTGTTTTAGAACTGCTGTAATGGCAGGTCTCTGGTGCTTTGGTTTGTTGATTGTGAACTTCATTGTCCCGTGCGTACTGGGGACGGAATCTACAACAGAACAAGGCAACAACCTGGTGGACTTCTGGATCGTTCGTTTTCTCATTAACCTTCTGGGATATGCCACTGTGTTTGTACCGGGTTATATCATCATCAACTATCTGAGGAAAATCAAGTACAATGAAACAGGAGGCAAGTTCTGCTCAAATAAAATAAATATAAACAATTTTGAGGTCAGTTTGAATTTCAAAATTGTACATAATGTATGATTATGGGAAATTTTTAAATTAAATGTTCTTGCTAGGATCATATACTAGAGTATAAAATTATTTACCTAAGTTACTTTTTACACTGAACTTTTGCATGTATTGTCTATGATAATTCTTTGTAGTGATGTATGATTAACGTTACTTATGAGTTAAATGTCAATCTAATTAAAATCAGATCCTTTGATCCACCTGTGTAGATGGGAAATCCAGTCAAAGCGTTCCCAATTAAAACCGTCCCGGTCAAAGCGTTCCCTGATTTTGGTCAAAGCGTACCATGATTTTGGTCAAAATGTCCCCAGATTTTGGTCAAAGCGCCCCCTGACATATTTTATAGAAATATGATACTACGAAACCGCCCCCTAATTTTGGTCAAAGCGTCCCCTGATTTTGGTCAAAGCGTCCCCTGATTTTGGTCAAAGCGCCCCCTGAGATATTTTGATAGGAAAATGTAGTTTCTAAACCGCCCCCTGATTTTGGTCAAAGCGTCCCTTGATTTTGGTCAAAGCGCCCCCTGACATATTTTGATAGGAAAACGTAGTTTCTAAACCGCCCCCCCCCCCTGATTTTGGTCAAGCGTCTCTTGATTTTGGTCAAAGCGCCCCCTGACATATTTTGATAGGAAAACGTACAGTAGTTTCTAAACCGCCCCGTTTTTGGTCAAAGCGCCCCCTGATTTTCGTCAAAGCGCCCCTAGTCAAATTTGTTGTGTGAAAAAAATGATGTTATTAAATTGTCCACAAAGCGCCCACTCGTTTTGATCAAAGAGCCCCAGACATACTTTGTATGAAAAAATGATGTATTCAATCGCCCCCGAAATATTGGTAAAAGCGTCCCGTTATTGCGGTCTAATCGTCCCCTAATTTCGATCAAATCGTTCCCTTATTATACCGGTAATTTCTAAATTTAAAAATTATGGAATGGAATGTAATATGTTGAAAAAGAATTTGAAATTCGAACTTGACGATTAAAGTTTTCTATTAGGGAAATGCGTAAAAAAAACAACCTCTCCATCGTTGCACACAGAGTACGCCTGCCGAGAAAATCTACACGCCCGCGGTGTTGTTTCTTTTATTTTGTACTATTTAAAAAATGTATATATTACTTTAATGAAATATTTGGTTGTCATTTAGTTAATTATAAACAAATCAAAAAAGAAAGAAAAATTATAAACATTGAAGCTGATGTATGTAAAACAAATAAATTAAAAAAAAGAAATGTTTTTATAAAATTTAAAACTAGATATGTCCAAGACCCGAACCATAGACAAGAAAGAAATAACCACGGAAACCATCCATGAAGATCATGTAAATTGATTCATGATACAGATTGTGCAACAATTATAACAATTTCTACAATACTAACCATTTTAACAATTTCTACAATACTTATCTGAGGAGGAAGAACTGAAAAAAATTATTTGCAGCTCTGGGGCGTAAATAGTTTGTGTGGTATGTTGTATAAATGTAAATTGACGATTTTTTCAATAGTTTGATAAACATGCATTTGTATTAAATTAGGAATTTCCTTCATCCATATTTTCTTAAAGTTCATTTATTTAATCAGATACGTAAAAAATTACTAATTCTGATTTTGTGGCTCTGGTTCATAATATCCCACCTTGGAGTGTGTGTATACATGGTTTAGCGCACGTGCCAATCTTCTCACTTGTCATGTACCTAATTATGTAATACCACATAATATTACGCACAGGTACGGTATACAGGAAGATAGATCATTAAGTTTCATTGAGATTTGAAGCCTGTGTATACACAGTAAACATGAATTCAGACATTCATATCATTGCAAACAAATTTTAACAATAATGAATTTTGATAAAACAATAATATATAGCGAGAATATTTGGAACTTTCGATGGATTATTTTTTCTCTAATTGAAATAAATGAATAAAATAGATTACTTTCATCCCTTTTCTTAAATCATCGAGTTCTTTGCCTACACGAAGAAATTGTGAAACTGAAATGTTAATTAAGATGAAAAATAATGTGTTTTATATTTTGAAAATTAGTAACTTTTTAAAACTTTTGTTTATTTCCATGACAGCCCAGATCGCTTATACATGTTGCATACATGGTATAAACACATCATGCTTTTAGTAAATTTTACTCTACAGACTATTCTTTGACATTACATATCTGAAAAAAAAATGATAAAATAAAACCCTATACGGAATTATTAGGTATGGGTTCCAAGTTTGTTTGTTTTGGGTTTTTTTTTTCGAGATGTGTGGAACATCAAGTGCCTGCATGTGTTATTTGTTTTATTCTTTCTTTAGAATTTGATTTACCTTATCTTCCTTTTCTCTAAATGAATGAAAAAGGAATCATGATTTTGAACATACAGGTATAAACGATATTTTGTACACATGTCATGTACATGCTGATTTTCTTACTCATTTCGTTTATTTCCTTCTCTGCTTGATGTATACACGGATGTGTAGGTCTGGAATAGTTTAAATTATACCATTTCTCTTACCTGTAAAATTTTGTATTTATTTTTATAACTTTGTTGCATATAATAAGTTAATATAACCTGAAAAAAATCAGAAATAATAATTATTTCATTGATGTTTTAAAAGTTTAACATTGAATATTTCAGATTCTGATTTAAAACAACTACGGTAACCCGTAAATCGCAAAGTTTTTACTGCATATGTGCTCCTGAGTCATTTTAAATTCTATAAATAAATACGAAATCAATAATATTTTTATTTTAAAAAAAAGAAAGAAAGAAAAACATGATGTCCATGGTCTTCACACAGCAGTTCCTGAGTAAGAGTTATCTCCTTTAATGCTATATACTCTTGTATCAAACACTAAATGAATAAAATATATATTTTAATAATTATTAATTTTTTTTTGATTAATTTTTTGTCAAATGTTAACCAAAATTAATACTTTTGAAAAGTAACATTTCAAATATTGTAATGAGAAATTAGAGAAACAACGCCGCAGGCGTAGATTTTTCGTCAGGCATGCCCCACGCCGTATGCAAACTTTAAAACGATTAAAAACTCCATTCTGTGCTTTTAACATTATTTTTGTTTCCTAAAACAGTAACTACAGGGTCTGAAAAAGTAATATACCTAACAAAAAACAAATTAATTCCATTAATAACACGGCAGGCGTATACATTTTCTGGGCAGGCGTATTTTTAAAAAATAAAAAGTAATATACCTAACAAAAAACAAATTAATTCCATTAATAACACGGCAGGCGTATACATTTTCTGGGCAGGCGTATTTTTACCCTGACAGGCGTCGGCATGCGTATATTTTAGTGTTACCCAATCTTATGTGCTTGATTAGAAATTTTTCCTTGATCGTATCCACCGTGTTTACAGATCCATATATTTATACACCTGTAGTGTTGAAAAGAAAGTTAAAGAATATAAAAATGTGTATGTGAGCATCAACATTTATTTTAAAAATGAGCTATCATATTTTGACTCTGGGACGTCAGGAAAAAAATATACATATAACAGCAAATTCCGTTTAAAAATCGATTTGGAGGCGCTTTGACCAAACTTCAAACGTTGTTTTTCTATTAAAAAATATGTCAGGGGGCGCTTTGACCAAAATTTGGGGGCGCTTTAACCAAACTTCAAACGTTGTTTTTCTATTAAAAAATATGTCAGGGGGCGCTTTGACCAAAATTTGGGGGCGCTTTAACCAAACTTCAAACGTTGTTTTTCTATTTAAAAATATGTCGGGGGCACTTTGACCAAAATTTGGGGGCGCTTTGACCAATATTTGGGGGCGGTTTGGAAACTTCGCTTTCTATAAAAATATGTCATGGGGCGCTTTGACCAAAATCAGGGGGCGCTTTGACCAATATTTGGGGGCAATTTGGAAACTTCGTTTTTCTATAAAAATATGTCAGGGGACGCTTTGACCAAAATCAGGGGACGCTTTGACCAAAATCAGGGGGCGCTTTGACCAAAATCAGGGGGCGCTTTGGAAACTTCATTTTTCTATAAAAATATGTCAGGGGACGCTTTGACCAAAATCAGGGGACGCTTTGACCAAAATCAGGGGGCGCTTTGACCAATATTTGGGGGCGCTTTGGAAACTTCGTTTTTCTATAAAAATATGTCAGGGGACGCTTTGACCAAAATCAGGGGACGCTTTGACCAAAATCAGGGGGCGCTTTGGAAACTTCGTTTTTCTATAAGAATATGTCAGGGGACGCTTTGACCAAAATCAGGGGACGCTTTGACCAAAATCAGGGGGCGGTGTCGTAGTATCATATTTCTATAAAATATGTTAGGGGGCGCTTTGACCAAAATCAGGGGACATTTTGACCACAATCTTGGTACGCTTTGACCAAAATCAGGGGACATTTTGACCAAAATCATGGTACGCTTTGACCAAAATCAGGGAACGCTTTGACCGGGACGGTTTTAATTGGGAACGCTTTGACTGGCTCCCGTAGATCGTTACTCTTGAGAAGTATATCAATCTACATGAGTGAATCAATAGGTCTGATTTATTTAGACTGTCTATTGTGTTATAATTATTTGATAACCATGGTAAATATGGCAAACTATCAAAACAATTGACCAAATAATTACATGTACACAGATGATCACAAGATTCTGAAAACTCACAATTTCATACCAATAAATAAATTGTTTTTACTGTTTAGGGCATGGTGTGCTACAGGATTTCCTGAGAAATCTAGCATTTGGTAAAGAATCTACCCTGCCCTTAACACAGGAGGAGGATTCTGGGAAGAAGAGGGATTCGGGTGAGGAATCGTCATTCCAGCGAGGCCTTACATTACTGTTCTGTGTTGCGGGACTGCAGGGATCCTACTTAACATGGGGCGTTCTTCAGGAGAAAATTATGACCTCTGAATATGGACGCACCGAACACTCCCCAGGAGAGTTCTTCAAAAACTCTCAGTTTTTAGTATTCATCAACAGAATATTAGCATTTCTCATCGGCCTAGTTGTCTTACTTGTAAAATCTCAACCCACACATACAACACCATTTTATAAATACTCCTTCAGTTCCTTCTCCAACATAATGAGCAGTTGGTGTCAGTACGAAGCACTTAAATTCGTTAGCTTTCCTACGCAAGTCATGGCCAAAGCTTCCAAAGTCATTCCCGTCATGCTCATGGGAAAAGTTGTGTCTCGGAAGAAATACGACTACCATGAGTACATTACTGCCGGACTGATCTCAGTTGGAGTGAGTTTGTTTTTACTGACAAGTGGCGACATAACGCGACACAAAGGAAGCGTGACTACTGTATCAGGAGTCATATTGCTGATGGGGTACATGGTATTTGACAGCTTTACCTCAAACTGGCAGGGAGAACTCTTCAAACGATATAAAGTTTCCTCCATACAAATGATGACTGGAGTGAATCTCTTCTCATGTCTCCTGACTGGCGTATCCCTTATAGAACAAGGAGGCTTCTTTGAATCTCTAGCATTCATGACAAAACACCCTGATTTTATCTTCCATGCTATAATTTTAAGTCTGTGCTCTGCTGGGGGCCAGCTATTCATATTTTACACCATTGCTCAGTTTGGGCCAGTAACATTCACCATCATAATGACCATTAGACAGGGGCTAGCAATTCTTTTGTCATGTATCATATATGGGCATCCTGTGACTTTGGTGGGCATTATGGGCGTTCTTATAGTATTTCTGGCATTGTTTTTACGTATTTATGCTAATCAGAGGAAACGGGCACTTCAGCAGAAAAGTCAGCAAGCTAGCAATCTCTCCAAAGTTTGATGAAATGATTTAATTTCAGAAAATTGTAAATTTATTTTAATAGATTTGCTTTATACTCACACTTTTAAAAAAAAATGTTTGGCTACATGTATATTCTCAGTATCCTTGTCCGTCCGTCTATCAAACTCTTATCTTTAACACCCATTTTTAATGGTTGTCAAACAAATTCTTTTTATTTACAAAATTGGTCCTGTAGATTTGAAACAAGTATTTAAATATTCAATTTTTATATAAGAAGGGGCTCAAAAAGGATAACTTATTGAAAACTTCTCAAATCCTCTAAGAGTCCTTATATATTCAAAGACACTCACTGTATCTTTTAACTTGATTCTTCATGTCTGTTCTGTGTTAACAATTTGGAATTTAGACCTTTGTTGCAGGTGTTTGTTTTTTCCTAATAATATTTCTATTGTTCATAAGAAATTTATACATTATGATTTTGACATTGAATGGTGATGCTGCCATAACGTTTTTTAATGCTGCAAGTAACTTAACATCAATTATTCAAACAGGTCTGTTCCAGTGTAATAATTTCATCTTGATCAATCAGGGATTATAATGCAGGTGCAAATCATGATTCAGATTTTGTTGACTGGCATTTTATATTTTGAAAGTGGGATAAGAAAAATGATCGAATCCCAAGTGATAAGAAATCCTACGTGTACTTGAGAGAGTACTGAATACAGTATTGGGATGCATATTACTAGTTGTGTAATATGCTGCATATTTTCAGGACAAGTATTTGCTAATACAATTATATTCTTGAGCAGTTCTGCTCTCAAATAAAAGATCCTTTCTCGACTAGTTGTATTCCTGTTGCCTCCAAGAAGCTAGTCATATTTCAAAACTACATTTAGTAGACATTTTCAAGATTATAAATGGTCTAGTGCTGTGTGTTTAATTAAAGCAATAAGCTGCATTTTACAAAAGATGTATTTTTAACAAATTAAAATGGTCTATTGCTGTGTGTTTAATCAACATTTTACAGATGTATTAACAAATTAAAGATTTATTTAGCTGTCCTTTAAGGAATGTCCATGGGAAGTCTTTCATAACCCAAACTTAAATCAGCACAACCTAAATGTTATCTTTATAGCCAAAGCAATATCTTGTTCAGTCAAACTTTGTTTTCCCTAACTTGAGGGAACCAAGATTAAACTTTTGAGATATCCAAAGATTCAAGATATCGAAAGTTAAGAACATAAAGTGGTTGGTATTGCCAACACACTTCAAAATATCCCTGGTATTTGAGGTACTGGTGTTCAAGATAAGATAACAAATTTCAAATGTATATCAACTGTATTACAGAGGAACTTTTTGTTTCTAGTGGCTTTACCTCAAGTCAAATAGCAAAGTGGGTATTATACATTTAACTGTCACTTGTAGTTTTATTTATTATGGTAGAGATATATACGATTTTTAATGTGCCTTTGGTGCTCTGATTTTGGTTGTATTTTTTGACATTAAATGAAACACAATGTATATATACAGTAGATCTATCTTTCTGAATCTCATTTTCTTCGTAATACTCACGCATTTTTAGAATTTGTTAAAAAAATAATTAGATTTAGATTTCAAATCAATAACAAAGTATAGTGACCATCTACTTTTAAAGACCTCTTGTATTAATTAAGTTTTTAAACAAAGCTTTAATTTCCAGGAAGATGTCTATAGGTCCATCTTTGGATATTAAAATAATAGAAACTTAAAAACTATGTCTTTCATATAGTTATGCTACTAACAGTAACAGTAAAAAAAAAAAGAGTGCATGCCTTCTGATTTTTAAAATGCATTGAAAGTTTCATTCTGGATTTGTAGCCTCCAAATGTTTTGATCTTTTTGTATAGTTATATTTTGACTTAATTTCTATAATACAGGGATTTTTATGTACATGGGAAGGCTTAGTTTTAAAGTACTATGCTTAAAACATTTTGTGAAACTGAACAAAAATTTGTAATAACTAGTATGTACAGTATTACAAGTATGTACAGATCAGTTATCTTTCATTCTTTTATTTTGTTTTGTTTGTATGCTGTGCATACATGGGTGATATGAATTGAGAATATTATAAGGGTGCTTTTTGTAGCAAATACATGAATGGACATGTATATAATTGAACTGGGAATTCATGTAAATGATATATAATTACTGCTGTTAAACAATAAATTGTTTTCCAATGTGTTTGGTTTTGAATAATCTTAGCAAACTTTTTAAGCTCCCTTCATTGATTTAGTTTGGAGAGCTTGTGTAATACAGTAAAACTCAGTTATAACGAAGTCACTGGGACCTGTGAAATTACTTCGCTATATCCGTAATTCGTTATATCCATTTGGGGAATTCGTTGAATTAATATAGTTGGGGATGCAAGAAAACTTCGCTATATCCAAAATTCACTTTATGTGTGTTTGTACTAAGCGAGTTTTGCTTTAGTTATACACTTAGCATTGGTGTCTGTGTTGGCATCCCAGTGTGGGCAGATTTTGGAGCTGATTTTTTTCCCCCAAGTGCATAATTTATGTTGAATAGATATGCATAGACAATGCTTCTACAGTAAAACTGGTTTAGTATTAACACGGATATAGTGAACTCACGGATTTAGCGAAGTTACCTTGGATCCCCAGCTATATAAATTTGACAAATTCCTTATACGTCGAATCTAATAATTATGGATATAGCAATTAAAGTAATTTCATCAGAAGTCCCAGTGACTTTGTTATAACCAAGTTTTACTGTGATATGTTTCATTGTAGCAGTCAGGTTTAAAGTTTTAGATATGTGTACTACAATTTTAGCCACAGAATGACAGGATTAATGTATTTTGAGTGCGTTAAATTTCTTAAAGAAAGTCTTTCCAAGGTATAATAGACCCTGTATTGATCAAACTTGCATCTACAGTATCGACTCACTCTATCAAAAATACTATAGATGCTGGATATGACCTACAATTTTGAAGGATTGACAAGCTTTAAGTCATTCCAGTGACTTAAATTTCAAGCCCAATTTAAACCAAATTTTGAGGGATGATGCATCTTTTCTAGATGACTGAGTCCCAGTTAGAAGTTTTGTAGCAGGTTAACTCAAATGGAATGCAAAAAAGCCATTCATAGATCAGCCTTGTACATGTACTGATCATACATCTTGGGAAGCTCACTTCTAGATGGATTGGACCAATGCTTAACCAAGTTTTATTTACTTTAAGAGGCCCATTCACTAGTAACTCCGTGTATAAGGCCTCCCAGAACCAAACATTTTAATAATGTTGAAATATGAAAAATTAATAAAATTCAAAAGCCTATAAGAACAATACGAACTGGGAACAGAGCAAACATAGACCTCTAAAAAACAGAAGAGGTGGGATCAGGTGCCATTAATAATTAAACATTCCCTATCAACTTGTCTCACTCACTGTATGATACAGCAAATGGAAATGCCTGTAGACAATTCAGAGTAAAAAATATTCCATCTTTATCAGATGGACATTCAAATAGAATTAAAACATTTTGATACAGTTTAAATAATGCAATATGTCTGTCTATCTCCTGATATGCTGGGTAGTTTCAGAGTACTGGGGGACTGCTGAGCATTATGGTAACTATGGCTGCCTGTTTTACATGCAAACTAAACCAAGCTTCAATAACAAAAGAGACAATATCCTAGCTTTTTCTATGATTTTTATTTCTCTTTCATGTTCACAGTGTATTTACATATTATTCCTGTACACACCAAAGTGTTGGTCTGATGTTGTCAGTGTGCCTCTTTGTTTGTAAAGGTATACTTGATGTGACTATATGCCAGCCATTTTCAGTCTTTGTAACAGGTTTTGGTGTGAAATGCTTATGCTACAATGCAAAATAAATGAAGTATTAAATATGAAATATTAATTTCTGTAGACAGGAAAATTAACAAGAGTTAACATTTTTTGCTAAATGAGGTAACATGTACATGATTGGAAAGATTTTGCATTATCTCCACCTTACACTCCCACCCATGTACCCAAGGCCTTCATACAGAAATAAACACAAAACTTATTACAAATTCATATAGCCTAATAAACATGAACATATCCACTTCAGTAATTGTTACGATAAGAGGCCCTTAGGCAACAATGCTCACTTGAAAGAGTTGTCTCTCCAGCCCTGCTTGTTTTAAAGACTCTGTAAACTTAATGTTAACACCCTATTGTGTTCCCATCTGAGTCACAAATGGGCAGGACATGACCATACTTTGATTCAGACAACAGAAGTGCTTACTGAATATCTTTTTGTAACAAGAAAAGATTTTTTTTCCTCTGTATTTGTAAAACTTAACTCTACCCCCTATTTTAAGTACCATCCAGACCCCAGTAGCTTTAGTTTGATCTCATATAAGTGGAATTTTTAAATACAAATTTAGCCATTTAAATAAAAAAGGTATTTTTTTTAATGAGAGGTAAGGCCATGCAAAGTTAATTACTTGGTTCTCAGGCCTTTTTTCAAGAAATATGATGAGGGAGGGAGGCATTTTTTTTTCTTTTTTATTGCCTCCAAAACATGATGAGGCAGCTTTTTACATTGTACAAAACCTCAAAAAATGATGAGGGAGGTTTTTATTTTATTGATTTAGCAATAAAAAGGGTCAGTGAGGCACCCTTGGAAGAGATGAGGGAGGGCCTGAGAACCAAGAAATTAATTTTTTTTGCCTAATTTAAGCAATTTTATTATGCCAAAAAAGATATCTTCATTAACCAATACAGAATAAATTGTTAGCAATATTCAATTTTAGTGATCTTAAAACCCTCGTTAAAAATGCCAAAATTGAACCCTCATTACAAATTCTTATACAGTCTTCTAGAAATACTCTTTGAACCTGCACATACATGAACTTACACATTTTAGAATGGTTTTGGGAGAATAATATAATTTAGGATGAATTGTTCTGGAGGACATCCATCTAGAGTAGAAATCCTGTAGTTCAGAGTCTATCTGCTTCTTGTGATCGTTCATGAAGTCCCCGCTGATGATGTAGGAGTCAGGTTGACTGTGTAATGCAGCATACAGCACAAATAAATCATCAATACCACTGGCTGCCTTCATCCTCTCATCCCTAAAATATAAATTCAAAACATTTCAAATAATTTTCTTTCCAGGAACTGAGCCAATTTAAAGCATATACATGTATTACTAACGATAAATGAAAATAGCCACCGTCTAACAATTGTGAATAATGTTCATAGTTTCTACCTCCCTTGGGTCAAAAACCACTAGAATTTGAACCACCTTTAATCTGTATAAAAATTTAACGAACACACCCTCTCAAAGTGAGACAATCAGCAATGGATAGCAATAGGTCTCAGAGTGATTCACATAGTTAGGTGAGCTTAAAACCCATGGCAAAAGCTCTTTTTATCGGTACACAATACAGGTAATACCAGTAGTTTGAGTAGGTTAAAGTTTAAAATCATGCGTACCTGCTATATCTTACTGGAAATCTGGTTATACTTGGATGTTCCAAAATATCACCAACCATTTGAAATAAAATATTCCTTCCAATGACCAACTTTTGACCAGGGAGCTCTCTGAGTAAAAAATCCTGCAAAAATACAGGTATTTCACCATAAATTAGTCTTGCATTGCTCTTTCAATTTATAATTAAACCACTCACCTTCAATTACACCGGATTACAAATTTGGCAAAAATAAATCAATGTTAATTTTCCCTGAAACACAGTGTGCAAGATTAATGAAAAGAGAATAAAGTAAGTTGTACACGTACCTTCATGAGTTCTCCAGATTGCATCCGTTCTGCTTGGGTATAAGCACTGCCACCGGTGAATTTGTGCATTACCCACATTCCATCTACTACAAAATCAAATTTTCCGTGCCTTTTGAGGAATTGTAAAAAAGTCTGAAAAGTTTCACTGTGGTGTTTGTTCAAAGTTTCAAAGATGGAGGCCTGGATCCTTTCTAAGCTCTTCTCATTAAAATGACACTGTCCAACCGTAGCCCCACAGTTCTTGCAGGTTTCACTGAAAATGATACCATAGGACAGAAAATTATTAGTTGTTTAACATTACGATCCTTGGTTTAGTCTCTTTGTGTAGCAAATGTATAGTATTTGAAATCAGATATAACTATTGAAGAAGTAGCCTTTCAACAGAAGTTCACTGAAAAGTTTAATAATAATAACCATGACAACAAAGTTTAAAATCAAAACATTGATAAAAATGATTTTGCATCTTCTTCCTGTGCACAAAGTTTTACTGAAATTGAAATACTATATTATGTAACCATGGCAACAGCATGTTCCTTGACATCAAAAACTAATAAGAAAATTTGTGAAATTATTAATTCGTGGGAACAATCTATTCTCCATTCCATGCATTGTACTTAATTTGTACATGGGATTAAAGGCTCACAAAATAAAGGTAGTGTGTGAGGTAAATGTTTTATTTTAATCTACTGACTTTATCAAAAATTTTAGTTTTTCTATCCTGTAAAATTAATTTTCAATAATTTTTTTCCTTAATGAGTCTTAGTATTGTCTGTATTTACATGTCTTATATATTTAATTAACCTTTAAAATTTATCTATTTATATATAAGTCACTGACTTCCCTTATCATGTCACATTGAACCTTGCCTAAGTAAATGTCCATAACAAATTACACATTTACTATCACCTAATCATATTAACTATGCAGGTGTGAACAACTTTTGGAAAGGGCATTGAACATTTATCTTAAAAAGTTTTTAATGCAGCGGCATAAATAGTCTAATTCGGACACCGCCGTTTCCAAAGTAATTGACTATATGATATATTACTGATTTATCATGTTTGATAAACAACATTTTAAATTTGAGTTTATACTTTTAACAGAAACTTGAAAGTTAACATAATTTTAGATGAGATTTTGGAATACACAGGATCCAGATTAAACAAGTTTCACTGTACATGTACATGTATATTCTACTTACTCTCTAGTCACAAAGGTCTCTGTTATCTGTGGCTGCTTTCCCTGTCTAAGAGAAAAAAATGAAGTGAATGCACCATGACTATCATCTCAGTATCATCCATAACAGTTTCTCAGCCGCGGTAATATATTGCCTACATCCAGTTCTAAGCTATGTAGCTAAGAACAAAAACAGTGGAAATGTATTTTATAGGACTCTATCAATATTTAAATTAATAAATAAATACAGCTTCAAAGATCTAATCAAGGAACTAAAAATCTCGAAATTGCACAATAATATGAAATAAAATTATTTTAATGACAGAAATAAAGAAAACAATATTAAATACATTTCCTCACATTATCAATGCCTGCTTTAGATCCTCCACTCTGTGATCTGATGGATAGAAGTGTTGTATTACACCTAGAAGTCTTAATGTATAGTCAACTGGCAGCTTGTCTGACTGGTGAAGGAGTCCTTGCCACAGTTTTTCCACCACAGCAGCAGACAAATTATCCTTGTATTGACCAATCAGAGCTTCACTTACATCCCTGTCTCCGTATCTAAAGGCCGCATTCACAATATGGTGAAGATGATTGGCTATATTTATTGGGGTCACAGCTTTGATGTTTTCTATGCTTTTGTTGTAGTTTCTCACTAACTCTAGGCAATCTTTGTATTTACTTGTCATGCACAAAGGTTCTATCACCATTGCAAATGTAGAGCTGTCGGCATATATTATGTCATCTTTTATTTCCATAAAACATTTTAATATTTGGTTTTCGTCCACTTCACTGGGACTAAGGCCTGTGAAAGAATTCATGTAACCCAGAATCAAGGACATTTTGAGCATTTTATTCATTTTCTTTTGTAAACGATGCTTCATCCATTTTTCTGCAAACTCTGGATGCTTAGACTTTTTAGCCCAGGTATTGACAAGATAATCAAAATGAATCAGAGCTGACATATTCCTTTTCTTGTCCTCCAGTTCAGAAAACATTTGAATGAGTGTTTTGAGCTCTTTCTGTCCTGGGTTGGTTGTCCAGTGACATTGTTCTGGTTCCATTCCTTCAACATCCTCAGAAAATGGCTTCATCCATCCATTTTTAAGAAACGTTTCATGTAAGCGTATTTCATTCAAACATCTTACCCCAAGAATTCTACCATGTGGATTGTTCCTGGGAACCCAGGGAGTCCAGACACTAAATCCATATCTGCACAAGCTAGCTGCTAAATTCATTCTTCGGGCAATCATTTTAGCACCCAGAATAGAAGTCACCTGTAAAGTTCAAAAATACATAATAGTGTTGCCTGCAGAGCAATACACAAATTAGCACACACCCTTACCCCAGGGTTCATGATTTGAACAAACTTGAATCTACACTACCTGAGGATGCTTCCATATAAAAATGTGTGATCTAGGCTTTGCTGTTCTTGAGAAGAAGATTAGGTAAAACTTTGCTCATCCATTGTTGCTTCACCCAACCCCCAGTGGTCATGATTTGAACAAATAAGTTGCATGAATCTACACTTGAATGAGGGAATGGCCCTTAGATTAATGGTAAATATGAATCCACACTCTCCTGGATTTTAATATAATGATAATGTTTCATATGTAATTGCTTATATTTGTATTGAATCTGTTAATTGTTACACTGTAAATCTCTTTATCCTTTGAACTCGGATTTCATCTAAATACAGGACTATAACCCTAGACGGTCCCATTACAAATGATTAATCATGGCTTTGCTAAAATGCATAGAAATCAAAAACAATTAATGTCATTTTTTTAAAGTGTCTTCCAACTCCAAGTTCTGATGCAGTGACTATATATATATATATATATATACACTTATATCTTACCAAACCTTATTTCAATATTTCACCAAAGACTTTATCTTTTTTTGGAAAAGTTGCAAAGCATAGGCACTCCCCATCTTTATTGTCAAAACAAAACACATGCACACCTAATGACCTATAATCATTGGTAGATGTAGATTTTTTTTATAAAACAATATATTAAAGATGGGGAATGCTAATGTTTCTTAGCAGTTTAAATAAGTACCTAGATTTGCCTATCACATGGTCTGTTAAGTCATATTTCATGTTTCTGTGTGAATATGCACCATAAAGTGCTGTACGATACGATACCCTTCATCACATCAGTAACTTTCACTGCACTTTGACACACGAGGTTTCTATTTTCAGTTGGGTTCGATTCTCAAGAAAATATTAATCCCGATCCCGATAATAAATAAGTCACATGACAAACTTGTGTTGCGTAAATTAGTCACACAAACTTGTTTTGTGTGTGAACGTTCAAAATGTTCCAGTACCTGATACTTTCATTGGTTTTAGGTCTTACTTATTCTGATAATGCAATTCCAGAGCAGATACACCTCTCCTATGGCCGTAAGTATCGATAGAAACTGAAAAGCTGTCAAAATGAAAGTAAACTTACGTTTTCATGTGTTTCACTGTTTGTCATCAGATCACGAGCATCTTTGCTTTGAGCCTTTGACAATACATTATTCCTCTGATCAAGTCACGTAATGCAAAATAATAAATTCCAAGATGCATTTTTTTTAGAAATTCAAAATAGCATAGCCTTGTTGAAGAGCGATAAATTTTTCATTTCTCCTCTAATAAACAGGTTGAGACCAATCGCCCAAATGGGATATAATAGTCCGTTTGAGATATAATATCCTAAATGGGCTATAAATTTACAGTTTAAAATTTGAAAATTTTGATTTTGGCAATAAATATCATAAATCCGCATCAGGGCACTTAAAAAGGAATAATTTTGGTTAACAAGTTTTTCTGTATGTCTGTTATTTAGGAGATTGATCCCTTGGAAGTTTTAAAAAGGAAATTTAAAAGCATGCATAAAAACCTTCGAAAAGTTATTCCTTTTTAAATGTTTTGATGCAATTTGCCAAAATAAAAATTTTAATTTTGCACTGTAAAAAATTCATTTCTTCTCTAATGAAATAAAAAGATAAATAAATATATATTCTTGCATTTGTCATATTTTCCATAGAACTCTCCTTGAAATCCTGTATTTGTGCTTATATATAATTAAAAAAATGAAACCAGATTGATAACTATGGCCAAATATACTTGTAATGTGTATTGTAAATTTATAAATACATAAATTTGTATTAACAGGAGATTCAACACAGATGTATGTCACATGGAGCACAATGAATGCTACCCAGAATGCCACCTGTCTTTATGGAGTAGCGACCCTCTCTCAACAGGCCAAAGGCAGTACAACAAAGTTTGTGGATGGAGGCCCGGAGCAACATACCCAGTACATACACAGGGTCCTACTGACTAATCTACAACCTGGCAAGAAGCACAGTAAGTTGTATTTAATCTCTCAATACATAGCAGTTTATTTATCTCCTTTATAGCACCTGCATGGCTCTGAGGCCATTAAACTTAGTTAAGCACATTTTTGATCTCAGTTTCACGAAAGGTATTTATAGTGTAAAAGTGAGTGAGATTGAAATTGAGCTTGTCTTACTTTTATGGCCTTGGAGCCAGATCCCACCTCTGATCTCTCTAGGGATCTGTGTTTTCTCTTGATTCTCCTAGTTTGCATTTAATTGATTAGAAGACATGTATTTGACTTTGGTTCACTATTGTAATCTTCACATTTCGTTACTTATATGTATCAATGATGACGTTTTCGTTGTCAGACTTGTATTTTTCTTGTTCAAGTAATTGTTTTGTTTCTCTTTTAGTGTATCAATGTGGAAATGGGAAAACCTTCAGTAAAGTGTTCACCTTTAAAGCTCTCCCTATGGGTTCTGATATAGGAGTGCGTATAGCCCTGTTTGGAGATATGGGAAGTGAAAATGCACAATCTTTACCAAGGCTCCTTAAAGATGTCCAAAATGATATGTATGATGCCATTTTCCATGTGGGTAAGATGATTGTTTTATAATTTAATGCATAATATTACTTTGGGTGTGTGGTAAAGAATTGACTGACAATAAGATTTGTCCGTAAGACTTCCACCTTTAATAAAAAATACATGTACATGCAAAAGCCAAGCCTGAGAAAAAATGCAGCTATATGACAATATTTGCTTGACTTTCAGTTTCAGTTTCACATTCTTTTTAATTTTTTTTATTATAATTGTAGATTCATTAAGTTATCTGGGATGTTTTCCTTCCTTTTTAAATGTTGAGAAAAAAAAGGAATTAAAATTTTATGATGAGATAAAAATTCTCTTCCCATATCTCTTCATGCATTTCAGCTGCAGCTTTAGGTGTCAACTTTACCTCCTATTATTATTTTCCCTATAATTTATCTTCTTTTCTTTTAACAACTTTTCACAATAGATATTTTTATTTGTATAAAATATTTCAACTATCGTAACAACAAAATTATGATGTTGTACGTATGTATAATGCTGAAACCCTAATGATAGAATAATATTTGCCTGTTGTCATCTTGGACTAGGGTAACACTTTTAACCCTAGTTCGTTTCTGAACAGTGAAATAGAAATTTTTATTTATGATAAGTTATCATTGAAAAATACAAAGTGCAAAGATAAATGTCACATCGTTTAATATTAAATACACAAAAAAGAGGAAGACTTTACTAAATGATAAATACAATTATTTGACTATCATTAAGTCAGTTTAAATATTTACTGATATTTATTGTTATTGTCTATGTTTAATCTCTGTAGACCATTGAATAAACATATGAGTTGCAGTATATGGATAACATACACAAAAGACATTGTAATATTGACTTTATGCATAATATGTTTGCGTTTTGAAACACATAAATATCTTGAGTGGTAAATCTGAAAAAACATGCTGTTTTGCTACACCATAAATGTGTAATATTTTCCTCTAGTGCAGTCAAATTAATGTATGATATGCATGTATATGATTTTAGTATACAATATACAATTTCTTTTTGTAATTAAAAAAATCAAAGCAAAAACTCATATTGACTGTATTTTTTTTTAGGTCACCTGAGTAAACTCTGTATCTGTTTTCGTCCGCCGTCGTGCGATGTGCGTCATGAGTCGTTTGTTAACATTTAAACATTTTTATAGCTTCTTCTCTGCAACCACTAAACCAATTTCCACCAAATTTGGCATAAAGCATCTATGGTTGAAGGGGAACAAAAACTGTGATTTTCATGGTCTCTCAAATGGGGCCAAAACCACTAAAATTAATGCAATCTTTAAAAACTATCTAGCAGTCAAACTGTTTGCATGAATGTAATGACCATTTCCTCTACCAAAATTGTGAAATTCATGGCCCCATCAGGGGTTTAGTGCTAGGGCGGGGCTCTATGGATTATATGGTGAAAATGTATTATTTCTTTAAAAATCTTCTTCTCTGCTCCTAGGTATTAAATAAACTAACTAATTTTTATAGAATCCAAAATTGTATTTAATGTAGTATGTGTGATTTTATAGTGAAAATGCATTATTTCTTTAAAAATCTTCTTCTCTGCTCCTGGGTATTGAACAAACAAACTAAGTATATAGTTATGATAGGCAAGAATGCCTCTTTCAAAATTTTGAATTTTATGGCCCCATCAGGGTCAGGGGTTCTGGCGTTAGGGCGGGGCTCTGTTGATTATACAGTGAAAATACATTAATTCTTTGAAAATCTTCTGCTCTGCTCCTGGGTTTTAAATTAACTAAGTAAGTACATAGTTATGACAAGCAAGAATGTTTCTTCCAAAATTGTGAATTTTATGGCCCTAGGGTCAGGGGTTCTGGTGCTAGGGCGGGGCTCTCTTGATTTTATAGTGAAAATGCATTATTTCTTTGAAAATCTTCTCTGCTCCTGGGTATAAAACTAAGTGCATAGTTATAATGAGCAAGAATGCCTCTTCCAAAATAATTGTTTTAAAATACGGGGATTGATTATATAGTGAAAATGTATTATTTCTTTAAAAACTGGGTATTAAACAAACAAACTAAGTATATAGTTATGATAGGCAAGAAACTAAGTATAAAGTTATGATGAGCAAGAAAGCCTCTTCCAAAATTGTGAATTTAACAGGACTCTGTTGATTATATAGAAAAAATGCATTAAATCTTTGAAAATCTTCTCTGCTCCTGGGTTTTAAGCGATGAACACTACCTATATAGCTATGATGAGCAAGAGCCATTCTTCCTTGTGAATTTAGTCTGCAGGTGGGGGGGGGGCTCTACTTATATACTGAAAATGAATTAATTGATTGAAATCTGCTCCTTGGTATAAATCAAACATTTTTGATAAGCAAGGGTGCCTTTTCCAAAATTGTGAAATATGTGGACCAAGGGTTAGGGTTTCATATATGTTAGTGGCACTACTGATTATTGCGGAATATTACTGATTAGTAGAGATGCATTTGTTTTGTTCCCCCACTCTGTCTATGGGTATTAAGTATTAAGTAACCAAAGTAAGTATGCTTAGTGTATAGTTATGATAAGCAATGGTGCCTTTTTCAATATGTGAATGTGAGTGTGATTGCTGTGACATCTAGTTTAAAACGAACCAAATTCAATCATTGGAAAAGTGTTGCATGATGCTCAGGTGACCTATAAGGCCCATGGGCCTCTTGTTTAGTATTACAGTACCCTGAATATTAATTAAATTAAAGTAATTCAAATGTCATAGAATTTTTTGTGTGATATGTGTGAAGACAACCTGTCCAGTTTACAATCAGAAAGCACTTATTTTGTTTAATATTCTAATAAATTTAATATTTTTATTTTCTTACAGGAGATTTTGCTTATGATATGGACTCAGTAAGTAATTTGTACACTAAATCAAATTTTAAGTCTTTGAAATTCAGAATTATTAGAGATCAAATATAAAATTCATATAATCAGTTAATGTGTTTTACTGACATGTTGAAATCAGTTGTACTCTTAATTTTAACAGGACAATGGCAAAAATGGGGATGTATTTCTTCGAGCCATTGAACCAATAGCTGCAGCTGTACCATACATGACTTGCCCAGGAAATCATGAAAACAAATAGTCAGTATCTGTTCAGTATTGCTTCTTTTGTTTATTTTTGTACACCCATTTAGTCAAATACATTTGACTTGGGTATGGCATTTTCTGTACATTTATGTCCATCTATATGTAGACAATTCAATATATTCATTATTTTTTTCATCATGCTTTGAGGCATGAAATTGAAACTTAATTTGCATTTGACTTTATTATAAGAAATTTTAAGGGATTTGACTTAAGATTAATTACAAGAAGATATGTATGTGCTGTAGTATTCAAACAAATACCTCTAACTATACTGTTTTATGTGGTTTGAAAAATAGATTGATTCATGGAGATTAGATTTCATGGTTGAGGAATTGTTTAGACATAAGAAAAATTGTATTTTGTAGTTGACATAAATTTGTGGGTCTCTCATTCCTTGAAAACCACGAAAATTAAACCCCCAAGAAAATTAGTGATTTCACAGTATTCCTTCTTTTTGCAGCAACTTTTCAAACTACAAGAACAGGTTTACTATGCCAGGAGATGAGCAGGGGAATCTGATGTATTACAGGTAACTAATCTACAGTAATCTATTTGCAGAAATTGTATTTTAAGTTCATGTGTCATAAAGCTCATTTTATTTCTGGATATTTGAAGTAAACTTAAATTACAAGTACAAGAAAACAAAATTACTGTTTTATTCAATCATCATGATCAAATGGACTGACACAATACCTAATTAATTAAGGTTTCTGAACTTCACATCAAATTTTACTTAAAGGGTAACTGTCTGTAGAGAATGATTAACAGAGAGGAAATTGTTGCTTAAATGCTTATACCAAGATATTTTGTTTTGGAAACAGAGTACAATCATGTAAATTGATGATGTAGTCAGATAAATGGGTTATTTTCAAGAAAAATGTCATTCAAAATGAATCATATTACTTGATGGAATGTTCCCTATTCACAGTGGTGATTATTCTTTGTAATAAGAAGTATTTTTAGTTGAGAAAAATTAGTAAAATTGTCATACCTGTTATGCTTTTAGCTTCAACATGGGACCTGTACATGTCATTTCCATTAGCACTGAGTATTTCTTCTTCATCAATTATGGAATCATGCAGCCCATCCACATGTATGAATGGCTGGAGAAAGATCTCCAGGTATGTTATCCATTTTCAGATTACCTGACTAATCTTCTCTGCATGGTCTACTAGTATGCATAGATTGCTTTCATTTTTTAACTCCCCAAGCATTATTTGGCTACCAATGCTATACTTTGTGTACTCACATAGATTCAACTTTTTTGAAACTATGAATCCTTGGAGCAGAATTAATCTTTTAGTTTTACTTTGGGGTAGAAATAGGTACATGTATTAATCTTTTAGTTTTACTTGGTCATATTCAGATATAAATGGCCTTCAAAATCTCATGACCAGATGTTTGAATGTCCTCTATCTGCATGTTGAATACAGTTTGGATATCTGTAAATTCCTGCTCCCCCCTACTAAGTTTGATAGATGGAGTCTTAATGACTTAAATGTCTTTCCATATGTCTTTTTAAGGTCTTTAAAATTAATATGAATTTGTCTTTATATTTTCAATAAAGACTACATGTACTTATTTTTAATACAGGTATACACTTTGTTATCAGTACTTCTGTATTTACAGGAAGCCAGCAAACCCGAGAACCGAGCCAAGCAGCCATGGATCATTGCTATGGGACACAGACCAATGTACTGCTCCAATAACGACCATGATGACTGTACTCACCACGAATCACTGGTAAGTCCACAATGAGAAGTGGTAAATTGTGCACTGTAACTTACCATGAGTAACTGTATTTATTATGAATCAATGATAGATTTGTAATGGGAAGTGGTAACCATTCACTGTAACTTTATTTATCATGAATCACTGGTAGATTCACAATGAAAAGTGGTAACCGTATACTCAAACTTGATCATGAATAACTGGTAGGTTCACAAAGAGAAGTACTGTAAATCAACTTTTATTCGCGTACGAGAAATTTTCGCGAAATTCGCGAGAGCAACGTCATCGCGAATATTTATCGCCGCGAATGGGTCCTTAAAGTCTCTTTTTGTATTGAAAACAGTTCTAAAAAGGCTTGATCGCGAATATTAATCGTCGCGAACTAGTTTACTCCCGGCAAATCGCGAAATAAAGTCATCGCGAGTAAAAGTTGGTTTACAGTAGTTAATCATTCACTGTAACTTAATTTATCCTGAATAACTGGTATGTTCACAATGAGATGTGGTAACCATGCACTGAAGCACTTGCACTCTCTTGCCAAACTAGAATTCTTTGATGATGATAAAGTACTTGTATTATGCTTTGTACTTGTAGATCAGAATAGGAATTCCCTTCATTCACGTTCTGGGCATGGAGAAAGTCATGTACAAGTATGGGGTGGATCTAATGTTTTGGGCTCATGAACACTCTTACGAACGCCTCTGGCCGGTATACGACAGAAAAGTAAGTAGAATATGTCTGTAGATGCTAGATTATTTAAATGTTTGAATTATTTCAATTAAATTAAAAAGAAAATATCTGTTTGATTTTTTTTCTGCTATTGGTCATTTTCAAGATTATGGAATAAAATGAAAAAATCTTACTAGGTTGCTACTGACTTACTTAGTTTAATAGAATTTTTTAAAGATATACAAGTTACATATTGTGAAGTTCACAACTATGCTTGCTTAGTGTGATTGTATTTTGATTGAAGGTTTACAATGGAAGTTTAACAGCTCCATACACAAACCCAAAGGCTCCAGTACATGTCATTACAGGATCTGCAGTAAGTATTCCAACAACTTTGAATCTCTTATATGACAAATACTGTACACACAGAAAGTTTTGCTCCTTTAGCTCTTGTTGTCAGTGGAAAATTCAAAGCAGGATGACTTTGAAAACAAAGAGTTATCTTTCTTTTAATGCTGCTGCATCTGTGAGAATTTAAAGCAGGGTGATTGGACAATAAAAACCATAGGGCAAAATTATTCCAACACGTATACATGTACATGCAGTATACTGAAACTAATCTTTAAATGCATTTTAATGTTTGTACAAACAGGGATGCAGAGAAAAGCATGATCCTTTCCGTAACAATACGGCCGAGTGGTCAGCCTTTAGGAGTATAGATTATGGCTATACCCGTATGAATGTGTACAACTCGACTCATCTGTACGTAGAGCAGGTGTCAGATGATAAGGTCAGTTAACTGGTGCACTGCTCTCTCTCCATCATTCTCTCTCTCCTCTATCTTTCTCTCTCTCTCTCTCTCCTCTCTCTCTCCCTTTATTTTTAAAAAATTTGTATGATAAAATCTTCCGACACCTTTCGAGGGATATTTTTATGTTTATTTGTGTATCACAATATATTCATTTATTTACTTGTATTTCATCATAAATATGTTGTTTTCTATTTGCAGAATGGAAAAGTTATCGACAGTTTTACACTGATTAAAGATAAACATGGACCATATGCGTAACCTTTTACCTATTAAACTCAGTCAAGCAAACAGATGAAATGTTCAAATTAGTACTCAGAATGATTTGGAAGAATCACAGGAGAATATGACTGTGATATTTTGTGCTTTAAATTTTGCAATGTATGCTATATTGTACATTTTTGAACTTAAAATTGCATATATAGAGATTTCACACATTCCATTGCAATGTGTTTAATATATGTTTATCATAAATGTCTCATTTACATTTTTTGATGTGTAGATAAAAAAGTCATATGTAAAACAATGGGGTGCATAGATCAAGGTTGATGTATGTCAAATTTCTAGAAAAAAGGGGTTGTATGAGGAAAGCAGGCAGTATTTCAATAAAATGTCAGTTCTTCAAGTAAAATCAAATGTCATGGTTAAAATTCAAGATTTATCTTAATACTATGAGAAAAATTACAATTGAGAAAAAAATTCTCTTTGGCCTATATAGATAGATACGTGTCACTTCCTGTAGATATGTATGTCTGACCCTTTTTATTGACCCCTCCTTGGTAAACACATTGATATTTTCCTCTCTTATTTTTTGCTCTGAAATGTATCCTGCTTAGTAAACTGTACATTATGTATAAATGTCTGCTTTGTGAAGGGTTGTTTGTTCATTGGAAAAAAAAAAAGAGAAAGTCATTTCCTTGGTTTACAATAACTAAAGGCTAACTTTAATGTTACTTATATTTCAAGCAGATTATTGCATCCCAATTGACCTTTGTTTACTTTAGACCTCTTTGACCTTTGCGGACTTTTCTTTCAAATCAGTCCAACAGTGTAGATAATTATTTAAATGTTTTTTTTTATACTGAGTATGCATATAATTCAAATAGATTTTTTTAAATGAAATTTTGAAAAATTGATGAAATTATTTCCTTGGTTTGCAATTCTCATAATTATACATCTAAAGGCCAAGTTTATTATACATCAGAAAAGAGATTGTAAAAAAAAAATGTAAAGAAATTAATTTGCTTATATTTTAAGCAGATTATTGTATCCCTGTTGACTTGTGTTTACTGTAGATCCCTATGACCATTCCGGACTTTTCTTTCAAATCAGTCCAACAGTGTAGATAATAATTTAAATGGTTTTATTGATTCCGTAGAAGCACAAATTTTTGTGGGGATAAAATTTCGTTGATTTAATTGTCATCAAAAATAGTTTTGTGGGCATTTAATTTCGTTGTTTTGAAAGTAGCCTTATTCAATATATAGTCATATAAAATTTCATGTGGGATTTAATTTCGTTGATAATTGTTACGTGTAACAACAAAATAAACGAAATTTAATCCCCCGCGAATATTTGTGCTTTTACAGTATGCATGTAATTCAAATAAATTTTTTAAAATGAAATTTTGAAAAAAGACAGGGAATCATACAGTATTACAATTTTCTTTGCTTTCATCCTTTTGTATAGTTAGAATAATCTAACTTTTTCTTTGGGCAGGCCCTCATAAAGGGGTCCGTACCACAATATCATTTTAACAATAAAATGTTCCATCTACTTTGAGTTCTGGCTTTACTGCTTGACAAAGTCTGCTGACCGAACACAGGTTTGTAGTGAACTTTAGATATTACTTAAGCTATTATATAGGTCACATTCTTGTGGTGCTCAGTGTCTGCTGTTAGTATTATAGTAGCTGGAGATGGAGGTTTATACCTCACAGTGCTTTATCTTTTAGTCATTTATAACTTGTCATTGTGCACAATGTATTCATTCTCTGTTTTTTGTATACATGTACACATGTACCTATTAATTTATCATACCAGATGAAATTAATTGTGATTTTCATTTATAAGGAAGGAACTTGTTCTCAGAAATAAAACCAACAATAAAGATATTTCTTTGTAAATTTATTTTTCTGTATTGTTTTTAACAGTTTTTTAATGAGATAATGAAACAAATATTGTACAGTATGAAAATGTGCCAAGTGTGAGCAGTATGATAAAGTTTTTCTATCTCTCTAGCTGTTCTGCTAAACTCTTATATGAGTCTTTTAATTAATAAATGTAAAATCACTTATTTTTATGGGGCCAAATTTTCACAATATGCGTGAAATTTACCCTATAACTGGAAATTTTAGCGAGACACAAATTTAGCGATTTGTCCATAACAATTAGTATTTTATTTTTTATGAGATGAAATTTTAGCAATTTTAAAAAGCTCACTAAAGAAGCTATTACAAATAAAGCGCAATTAATTTTTAGCGATATTCAATTTTAGCGATCTTGGCACCCTTGCTAATAATGCCAAAATTGAATCCTCGCTAAAATTTCTGCTTATAGGGTACTTGTTCAAGGGGATTTTGTAGTTATTAAAGACACATCCCAATACAGTAAGAATATTTTCTATTTTGTTGAGGATATTAATTTGTGGGTCTTATCATGTTTTGAAAACAATGAAAATTAATTCAATCTCAGCCCAAATTAATGATTTTACAGTGTCTTACTTTAATCTTATTAATTTCATCAAAATGAAAATGAAAGTGATAATGTTATTGCTCTCACATGGCAGCTTAAATTATGATGATGGTTATTAAGTTTCTCAAATGCAAGTGAAACTCTAAGGTTGTGAAGTGAAGAGATGAAAAATTCATCAAAAAGATATTGCTCGGAAATGATAGTTTTACACACACAGAGAGAATGTGTGAATTAACGACCTTGACCTTTTGACCTCACAATAAACAGGAGTCTTTCTGAGACCATAGGAAGTTGCTGCGTAAAATTTCCCACAAGCTTCTTGATATCGCGCGGAAACTAGAGTGTTACAGACAGACAGAAATACAGACTGACGAACGGACCGGAATTCATATTCCTCACTTTGTGAAAGCGGGGGACAAACAGAACGTTATAAGGACAACACTATTAGTTTATTGAAGCAAAATATTTTGAATTTGGAACACCACTTTGAAAAGATGCTGATCCCAAAAGATTAAATTGCGTTTCAAAGATTTGCATTTCAAAGATTTGTATTTATCAATATGAATTTGTGTTTGCTTTTAATTTCATAATCTCAAAACCCATCTGCCCGCGAACGCTAAACACAGAAAAACTCGGAATGGCCTTGTCTTATAAAACCTTGGCTTATCAGTTGTAACAGCTGTGTGAGCATATTACAGCAGGATTTACTTATAGACAGTAAACATGAAGTTAATCATTCCATTTATATTCTCAGGTTTGTAATTTGTACAATTTAAGCATCAATGATTGTCTAAACCAACGTCATAGCTTTAAAAATATGTGCTAACAAGGTGATAAAAATTTCATACTACATAATATTTGCACAAGAATTTTTGGATTTAATTACTGTGTGAGAGAATGGAATGTGGTGCCAATAGACGCCTTGACCCTCACATTCTAAAAGTATTCCATTTACGTACAGAAGGGAGAAAATGAAACAAACAAGCTAATTCAGAGAATTGTGTCCCCCGCAAAAGGAAGAAAGAAGGGAATGTGCTGACTTGGGGTAGGGGGGTTCGAGGGGAGGGGGTCATTTAAAGAAGGATGGAAAGGACCATAGGGAGAACTGGAATAAAATTAATTGCAAACAAACTCAAAAGTTTCCTCAGATACATGTATCGCCCGGAATTGATAGTTTTACACGCACACAAAATGTATGAATTTACGACCTTGATCTTTTGACCTCAAAATAAATAGGGGTCTTCCTTAGGTCATAGGGAGTTGTGGTATAAAATGTCATTGCAAAAGCTCAAGTGCTTCTTGAGATATCGCACGGAAATAAAAGTGTAAATTAAATCAGACAGAATATTTGAATTAATGACCTTGACCTTTGACATTAAAATGATTAGGGGTTTTCCTTAGGCCGTAGGGAGTTGTGTAAAATTTCATTGCAAAAGCTCAAAGGCTTCTCGAGATATGGCTTGGAAACGAAAGCGTTACAGACAGACCGAAAATAATAGCCTCTACTTTCAGCTGGGGACAATAGAATATTGTTACACACGACTTTGCACTCGTTAGAAAAATGTCCTGTCATCTAAACCCCCTTTTAAATTTCAGCACCATCTGGGTCTTTTTGTCCTCCGCTGAAAGGGGGGGGGGGGTTAATTTCGGTTTGTCCGCCCGTTAGTCTGTCTAAGAACATACAGTCAGATTTTTTTTATCCATATTGGCATTTCTTATTCACTACGGTACATAATTTAATAATTCTGGAAATATATATATTTTTTTCTTTCAGCGGGGGGGGGGGGGGGAGGAAGGGTAGTTCTCTGAATTAACTTGTTATTACATTGTGTACTCCATATCTACCCTTTTAATGTACATGTACATTCTGATTCCTAGAATTCTTCGTTATTTTTAATCCTCCTCCATTTGACAATCAGTTTTTACAGTATGTACTATTATGGCGGCCCCCCAGACCAGAGGGATGTGCCTCAGTCTGTGCGGCAAGTACGGCGTGGACTGTCCCGCGGGGTACGAGTGTCGCAGCAATGGATGCGGTCACGAATGTTATAGACCGGCTAACTATGTCGTTCCCGAAGGTAATCATGAAGTCTGTTCTTTTTTTTTATTTGATTCCTCGGCCTTTGAATATTTTGGCACCTTGCTTTAGACAAAATGAACACAGTCACTGGTTTCATAATTTTCCGCAAACTTTCAAAAAATGAACATATAGATGAAAAATGGCTCACTAAGGAATCTGGGTTTAAACTTATTTGGATAAACAATTTTTACAATATTCATAACAATTTTTTGCTTTCTTAAGTTCTTACACAATATAAATTTTATATTTTCAATTACCCCCCCCCCCCCCCAATAGCCCCCATCCCCTCTCTCGTTCAACCTCTACCTGTACATTGATCCTTAGAAATACGTATGATTAAAAATCGAAACACCTTAGCATTTATGTCGGATTTTTGTGTTGCGAATACTAGTACATTTTTGTATCGCTATATCATTCAAATTAAATATTCATTTTTTGTAATCTCATGAATATTTCCTAGTATAAAATTTTTTTATTGAGAAATATTTATTGATGAGGAGATACAGACTTCGACAATCCAATAAAACTCGATCATTGCCATATGACATTAATAAGTTCATCTTTTTAATTTTTTTTTTTTTTTTTTTTTTTTTTTTTTGTTTTTGTTTTGTTTTGCTTACTTATATATTTTCATTTTTCTTAGCTTCTCTCTGCTATAAAATTTTTCCCTTGTACATGTACTTAGGACCATTTTCAGGTTAGTTTGGACTTTCAGTATGGCGTGGCATTCTCGGCGCTACGTAATTAACGTCAGTGAAATGGCAAATAGATTCTCATTGGTTAAGAAATTAATAACAAAAGGAATTTAACTTTAAATTGTTGTTGACAACGATGTGTAAATTTCAGAAGCTAATTACGTAACGTCGAGAATAACGTGCGCCTTACTGAAAGTCCAAACTAATCTGGTAATGGTCCTATGATTTTCCAAAAGAAATCCGATTTATTATATTTATTAAAATACACATATTTTTTCACCATATCCTGCAAACTATGACAAGAATGACCTTTATTAACTTGAATTTTTTTTAAAAAGGGATAAAAGCCCTTTATACCAATGAGAGTTATCTATCTTATCAGAGTATCAATGAACCTTAATTTGTTCCTTATATTAATTTTGCATTGCCATAGGACATGGTACGAAATGAATATCGTTACAGTAACGGTTAAATCATTTTGCACCCTTGAAGCTTCCAAACATTTTGCGTTCTTACTTAGAATTCACATCGTCAGGGGTGGTCCTGAGTACACTATAGCCATTGGACCCTGACAAATCCCATTCGATATATTACGGGCTTGCTTCTCTCATTGTAAATCTCCTATCAAATCAGGGCTTTCCCGACTTTACATAAAACGTTTACAGAAAGTTAGGAGTTGATACCTCAATGCAAGTACGACAGGTTGTTAATTGTCACTAAAAGGTTTGAGTTTGGTCGAGAGGTGAAAAAATATCAACATTTTTTTCTGAGAGATTACACTGCAGTCACCCCGTTAAACACCGAATGAAATTTGTCAGGGGTCTAACGGCCACAAATGAACGCAGAGGGCGTGACGTTGTGAGGATAATAGATTACCGGGGTAGAAAGAAACGCAAGATATTTATACCGACGCAAAATGAGGATGTTTTAATATAAATCTATATCATAAACATTATTTGAATCATATGAACGAGACTTTCTTGATTGTCTTTTGCTCTTAGGTTGTGCTCCACTTCATTGTGATCAACACTGCCCACTAGGATACCAGGTGGATGATTCAGGATGCGATGTCTGCGCATGCGATTATTCCGCTCTCTCGCACACCTTGTAATTAAAATTCAAATGATGCCATAAAACACATGAATTAATAATCATATATCTTCGAAAAATGATTATTTTTCTACACCTGAATTGTTAAATTGATAATTTTAGATAAAGTTTTTGTTGTGTAATTTTAATATGTCTGGGTAGAAATTAATTATTAATTGAAATACTACACGTACCATGCCCTATAACAGTTGAAAATATTTGATTTGCATATTTTTACGATTTTTGATTTACATACTTTTTTTTAAATTTTCAGTATTTAGCAGGCCATTTTTCTTCGAGCTCCTAAATCATTCATGAGAAAGATAATAAGTCATCGATGTTTGTAGATGATCCAAATAAATTTGATGGTCGAACAAGGATGTTATTTACGGTATCAGTGATAGCTTCAATTTTTCTTCACGCGAACTATGAATAATTAAAGTCGGTGTTCGCTTTAATTATTTCTCTGTAGTCTTATGTAATCCGTTGATTCTTGATTTGCGTGACAATGATTTCCAGAAACGATGATCGTAAAATTTAGTGCTCATGATACAATTCTCTATATCAAGTGTATTTGCTTGGAAAATAAAACCATGAAAGCCTTTCTCTGCAAATTTCTAGTCGCTTACAAGAAAACATCAATTTTGAAAGTAGAGAAAACGTTCAAGAAGCATGACACTTGCAGGAAAGAATTAACAGACAGTTGAGACTGAAATAAATATAATAAATATTGCTATACCAAAAAAAAAATGGTATGATGTTTCTCCATTAAATAATTGCTGTCGTTCACAATAATTATTTCCCAATGTATTAGTAAGTGGTCATCCCCCCCCCCCTTTCCAATCATCTTGACCTACCGCGTCCAAATTCTTAAAAACTGATTTGTATGTGCAAGTTTACTGTTAATCAAAATCTGCAACGAAAGGCTAGAATGGTTTTTTTTCCCGTGTAAATAGATCTAATGTAGAAAAAAAACTATCGGGAACGATAAAGTTTCTCTGCAGACTGTGGAGGACACGCGAACCAAAAATCAACAGATTTCATAAGACTACAGAATAAGGTGAACTCTAGCTACAATGTATGATTCTAAGTTTAAAAAAAAAGTCAAACGTACATCCCCTGAGTTTTTGGATGTCGATTCCCAAAAAATTACAATTTTTGCGGTCTGTCGCAGCAGATCTAAAATGTTTACCTTTCCAGTTTGCCCCAGAGGATCAGAATTTCAGAGTTTAATTAAAACTCCAAGAAAAATTAGGAGAGCTGAAAACTAATTAAGAACAATCCCAACAGCAATCCATGACACAAAGTCAACCATACTGATCATGGCGGGGGTACGTAAGACGTTCTGTAAATCCCCTTAGTGCGTAGACCTTTGGCAGTGATGCAACACGCGTATAAAATGTTTCAATGAAACTCTCTTTTTTTATTACGAAGACTAAAAAAGAAAAGCTATGTCAGCATTATCTTCCTCTTTTTCAAAACGCATAGATACCTTTGTTAATTTTTACCTTGATCAATTTTCTCATTACTTTAAGGTCAGACGAGACGTTCCTCAAAATCTGTTTTGTATATCTTCGTAGTGTATGAAAAATATTCAAAATTTTAATAATATTCTGATTTCTAAACCAGTTTCTAAACGTTTTTAAAAAATCCAAACACTTAAACATTTGAAATTGGAAAATTATTTTTCTTCCCCAAAGGATTATATAAGAAAAACTACCCCTGGTATCTTGTAGAAATGCCTGGTAAGGTACCTCGATTTTTTGTGAGTAAACATGTTTAAGTAGCAATACTTCAATGACAAAATCCTAGAAAAAATTATCTATTATTAAGGAACGTCTCGTCTGTCCTTAATATCAATTCTCTGTAATTATCAAAATTGGTTGGCCACGCATAGAAAAACATTTTGATTTTTTTATAATAATTTTAAACAGCTATGACATTAATTGTAAAATCTAAAGTGGGTTTATGAAATAGACCCTTGGTTGCCATAGAAACGGGGTGCAAAATTCTCAATTTCGTTAATTTTGAAAAACGTGTACTTATCAAGAAAAACTGTGTCCAGAAATGAAAAGGGATAACTTAATATGTTTTCATTATTTAAATTTAATACTACAGATTAAAGTAATTATATCTGTAGTTTTAATTTAATCTCTCAATAGTAAATGGCCATTTTACATATTATAACATATCAGATATGTGATTGGTTTAATGGAGTTTTTGGAGGCTTAAAACAAAAAAGGCACACTGATTACAAATTTAGTAATAATTAATTATGAAAGGCTGATATTTGATTATATCAAAATATGTAAAATATTGGTGGGAGACTCAAAGATGTAAAAGGAATTCAAAGGTAAAGATTACTTTTTTCTACATTTTTAAGCATTTTTTGCTTCCTAATTACTTCCCTTGAACTACTCTCTAACGTTTGGAGTTAGTAAACAGCAATGAACATTTTCTGGCGAAAGATCTCATCAAAGTTTTACAGTCTGGAAGAAGAAAAGAAGCTAGACATCCTAAACAATGAAGACAGAAGGTAAATCTATGTATATACTGAGCATTACAAAAATATCAAGATTAACAAATGCATATTTTCTTAATTTTATTTGCCTTACAATACACAGTTGTTATACCACGGTAGTGGTCAGTGGTCCTTATCAAATCAAGCGAACTATGCCTTTTGACAGTTTGACGTTCTGACCAATGAATTAATTATTTTTATTAATAAAAATGAATTTGAAGCATATAAACATCACTTGCTGATACAGCTGACCCCCCCCCCCCCGAAATATCAATGTCTATATAGAGATTGTATAAAATCTGTGCCATTCAGTAGGTTTACTTTTTATGATGTGCTGAGAGAGACTTTTAAGTGAACATTATTTATCTTTATAATATAAATTTCCACTTCTGTCAGTTTTCATTCATTGTTTATCCTATTATTTCAATTCTTTATTGGCATTAGGCACATATTTTACAGAATTGTGTTGTTAAAATATTTAACTAGAGCAAGTTTGTTTGTATAAAAAAAAGTGCATCAAACGTTTATAATGTGTGAGCACAAGCATAAAGTAGCTAAGTTTTTTTAAATAGTATTCTGCATATCAGCAAAATATGGTCATGTGATGTTCATAAGCAGAAAATAGGAAAACAGCATGTTTGTTTTGATGTCGTTGTTTTATTTCTATCTTTTAAACTTTAAATTTATTATATATAATCCAAAACTGTACAACATGTATTGACAAAATAGATCTAGGTTAAGAATGCACTGGAAGTTATTTTTGTTTATATAGACTCTTTCATTCGTCTGTGAAGTACCGGTACTGTATAATCTATAGTTCAATTTTGTGTGAATAATAATAATCTTTTCAAATAGCAAACATTAAAAATATATATGTACACTTGTACATATGTATTAGTGTTAAAACAAAATTTAACTAGAGGTACTGTGAGCAATGAGCTCACTAAATGATACCCCCTGCCTCCCATATGGTTATAACTGATGACAAATCCATGTTTTACTGTGGCCGGGAAACCCAAAATATGTGTTGAATCAAAAAGTAAATTAGGAGGTGCACAATGGCAATATGTAATAAAGATTCTGTGAAAGGTTCATTAAATTTCACTCATTGCAGTGGTATAAGAAGAGTTGCGGATAATAAGAGATGGGTACCCTAAAGCGTAACAGACAGACGGACGTACAGACAGATGGACGTACAGCTAGACAGACATACCGATTACAGTATACCCTACCACTTTTCAAGCGGAGGGTATAATAAACCTATATACATGTACATGTAGAATATTCACCTCTGATTTATAATGATATTTGTTTAATACACACTGACCATGTTTTATAATATTCTAAACAAATTATTTGATACTCAGGCAAATATTCACTACTGATAATAATCATCATTTTTTCACTAAAGGATTTACCATATAAGATGAATAAAGAAAAAGTAAGACCAGTAAGCCAAAACAGGACCAAATAGGCCATGACTGAAGTTCAAGTGCATTCTGCAAGAAAGTGGACAGCCTAGATTTTGTTCTTTTCAAGGTAACCATTCTTAAAATATGAAAGTAAATTAAGGACAGACGATACAAACAAAAAATGGATGCCTGGATTGGTATATATTTTTTGGCATAGTTTAATTGCAAATTAATGATGCTATTAATAAATTTCTAGAATATTAAGAAATTGTAAACCTTCTGTGATGTTCAAAAGTCTGCCCTCTTGAAACTATCCTTATTATTCTATACAGATATTTTTCACTTCAAATTCCATTTTTATGCAAATATGAATTAAAAATTAAAAAGTACTTGAAGAAAGTTATTAATTTTACTGATTTAAACATGACCCCAGTTGTTATTTTCAAATTCTTTGACAAAAGTTTGTTTGTATCATCTGTCCTTAAATTGTTAAAAAATATTTCAGTTTTATTTCTAAATTTAAACCTTGCTTATTTCTTTTTTTTTCAAACAAATTTTAATACCTGTCCAGTAACAGAAGAATTATACTAGAATAAAGAAAACAACTTTCTAAAGGATTACATACACATTTTATTAGCTTGAAATCAGTGTATATTGGAAAGTGCAGGAATTATTTACCATTGCAGGTTGAGAAGAGATGCCATATTTTAGGTTTGAAACCAGGCAAGTGAAAGCTGCATTCCAACCTACTTCAACATACTTGTACCCACTGTCTTCAAGATATCAGTGTTTGAGATGTCCAAGTTGAAATATAATAGGAACATGTTTATCATATTATGTGATGGCATCCTCACACACACACACACACAAAAAAACTCAACTCACATAACACACACACACACACACACAACACACACACACAGAAACACACATCTAATGATATGTAGTGTAGTTGAGAATACATGTACTCTAAATGTTGCATATATAAAAAATAAAAAAACAGTTCTCTTGTTTTCAGAATTTATATTTACACACCACACGTTAAAATGATACTTGTGGGGGACAGTGTCTCATGGGAGGGGGGGGGGCATTGTTTCAACTGACTTTAGAGAATACAAAAGATCCATTGCAAACCTAATTATTAATTATATGCCAAACACTATGTTTAAAGTTTTCCATTGTTGGATATTTATGTTTAAATCCAAGATAACTTACCCAAGAAGATGTGATTTTTTTTAAACCAATGTAATTTTTCTCAAGTTTAAAGGTGTTTCATAAGTTTTAAAAGAAAAAATCAGAAGGGGGGGGGGGTAAATTTTTGACTTCATTCAAAGTATCTGTGGTTTGCAGTTGCCCATGAATTTAATAAATAATTATACAAAGTAACAAGTTGAAATGAGTAAAATATTATGAATGTCCTGCTTGTTTTAGTTTCATTTCAGAATTTTTCAAGTTTGACCAAATCTTGAAAAAGTGAAAGCCACAAGGTTTTGCAATTATTTGACATAGCATTACAAAATGCATTATATTTTTGCAACATCATAAAGATGCAAATTTAAGATGCCAAAAAATTTAGTTCACATTCACATTTAACTCATTACACAGGTTTTATAAAAGAGTAAATAAGTGTAGTTTTGGGAATATTGTTACGTTAAACGCAGCCATTTTGGTTAAAAATCTGGTATTCCTGTCTCCATGGTAACAAATCTTGCATTCTTGTTTCCATAGTAATAGAGAATGGATAGGGGAAATTTTATTTCATATTAGTTTCAGTCTAAGGGGATAGTTTCAGGAAACTTGAAACATGCCCTGGTTAGTCTACATGTACTTCAAAATTGTCAATTTTACGGAAAGGGGGGGGGGGCATTTTGTGCAGGTGTTCACAGTTCTCCTATCTAAGAACATATTTACATGTATTAATGCTCTTGGAAATGGGATGTGAATATTTTTACATGACACTTCTCCTAGATATGGACTAATTTTACTGTTAATGACATCAAAACAGGTAGAAAGGAACATTTCTTTTCTATATGAACTTAATGAAATGTGCATATGTTCCTTGAAATACTGAAATTATGCAGATTTTGGGTAATTTTTCATCAGCTTTTAAAAAAAAATGTTTAAGTGTCCCATAAATATTTTAATGTGTTTAAACTAACTTATGTTTCATCTATACAATGCACTGTTTCCTGAATTTCAAATCAGTGTGCAAAGTATTAAAAAATCACTTTGAAGAAGGGTCTAAAATGGTAATTTTCTCAATTTGGCAAAATGCCAAAATCCCCAAAGCTAAGCGTTGTTAAGCCATTATGTAGAATTACAGTTTTTAAAAAATTATGTTGTTATACTAGAGAGGAATAATGGTAGTTTTGAAACAAAAGTAGATTTTCCCATTCTCTTGTTTCCTTTAAGCTCATTTTTATTCAGTAAAACCTACAAAATCACGTTTTTTGGTCAAATTTTGGGGAGAATTTACAGGGGAAACAATAGGTGCCGTTACCATGGCAACGAGACATTTTTTGAAATAAAAAAATATAAAACCATGAATGATGTGACAATGTGAGTACACACAAAAAGTTTCATAGAAATTGAAAATGTAGCGTGGCCAAGCATTATTGATATTGTTTGATAATTACAGAGAATTGATATTAAGAAGTAAGAGGCAGTTCTGTGAGCAATTTTTTTTCTCATCATCTAGTTTTCAATACCCGAGGATTGGATAACATTTCTTTGACTATTATTAATTAATGGAAAAAAAAAACATCGAAACGGAACAAATTGCAACGACGCCAAAATTACCAAAAATACCAAAATTAATTCTAGAAATATATGCAACTGTCAAGAAAAATGTCTAGAAAGTAGAAACCCAAGTAGGATAGACTGACCCGCAGGCAGAGGGGTGAACAACAGATGGATACCCCAGTATGAAACCTCGCTCCTCCATGGCACCTGCTCCCACCTCTCAGTGATGTTTTGGAGATCCGTGCTTGCTGTGCTCCAATCTCGTATTGTTTTACAGACTTTTGATCTTGAATACTGTTCCTTATCTCCATATGTTTCACCTACAGTAGCAATTGGTTCGATTCCCAACAAGCACAAGGGCACCGCAAAACGGAATATCCCTTCGCACCGAGCATATCTATAAATCAAGACAGTAATTGACATCGATCCCGATGCAAATTTTGTCACTTCCGTTTTGCACAAGGACAAACGAACACACACACACACACACACACACACACACACACGAGCGTTACTACCCCCGGTATATTGCCTCCAACTCCGTTATGAAGGGATAAAAATGCGGGAAACGACCATAAATCATTAAGAATAAAAGAAATCAGGATGTGTTTTTGAAACACTATGCCCCCGATGGTAGCACAATTCTGGATTAGACATAGACTGAGATGGTATACACTTACCCTTGACAGCGCAGTAGTTTTTGGCTAGATTAAAGTTGACAACAGCAGGCACGTAGCAAAAGGGGGGGCTGCCCCCCCCTTCCACTTTTTTTGCCAACAATACTTTTACTATTGAAAATTTTCATTTAAAGGCTGGTTGGCCCCCCACTTTATACTTAAGTAAAGTAATATGAAGGAAATATAGTAATTGTAAGCTTAAAAAAATGGATGTTGAAAGGAATTGGTAGTGAAAAAAGTTTGCCTTCGACTTTGGGCAATTTTTCTTTTTTGTTTTTTTGTTTTTTGCTTGTCAACTTTTTCAGGTAAGTAAAAAAAAATTCTGTGGCTGGCGCCCCCACTTTCAAAATCAATGCTACGTGCCTGAACAGACATACAAACAAACAGACAGACAGGACAAAAACAATATACCTCGGGATCTTACCCAGGGGGCATAAAAATGTCCTTTATTTGATGTTTATGGCCTGTGAATGAGCTTTGAAGTTTCGAAGATTTAAACTGCAACAAAAAGGGAACGTACAGCGCGTTCCTCTAGCTGTTCCTCCTCTTAATTCATCATTAGAAATGGAACATTTATCTATGTGATTTTTTCATTCATAAAATCACAAACTTTCATATGATAATGCCCATATTAGACCCCTCCTCGTCCGGTATCTAGTATACGTCGTGTAGATTTTATAATGTATCTATTATTTTCCTGGTTTTAAGTACGCTCACGTTATACAAACAGGATACAAGGATTCTCGTACTTCCTGATGGCAAACTGATCGCCATAATGAAACAAAAAAATGGACCTAATATGTCAACAAAAGTAAGGTTGCAAGTATGAGGTGAAATCTTTGAAAGTGGAGGTTATCATGCATAGCAGAGGTTCCTCGGCTAAGTATCAAGTCTTGGAATCCTCTAGTCTGAAATGTTGCATTGTGGGTGATACAAAGTCGGGCAAGACAGCCCTCTCCTATCGTATGCAGGCTCAGGAATTCAGGGCCGACTACTCGGCCACTTCTTTCGATAATTATTCAGGTGAGCTCTTTAATTTTTTTAATTATTAGACGCAAAAATATGTTTTACATGAAAAAGAAAACAAATGTTTTTGACTTCATAGGTATTGACATGGCGAGAGGTTGGACTTTTATTTCCGTATTTCATTGTTGGACTCAGTGTACACAGTAAATAAAAAAAAAACCGGCATATTTTATCTTGAGGGAGGAAAAATTGTAAAGCATGTATACGTCGATTTATATAAAAACATAATTAGTAATTGCAGCTTTTTTCTAGGAAAGATGGTTTTCTGTGAATGCCAAAGACAAACGATCATCGGTGATTGACATCAATCAAAGCCCTATTCTCTCTCTGAAATATCGCCTTTCACCAATCCTCCCTTCCCCCGAGATTCTTAAAATCGATTAAGTGTCTTGTGTTTTGAAAGTATTTATATAAAGAGGAAGATTTTAAATTTCTTGGTACAAAAAAGTTTCTATGTTAGATGAAATAATTCTTTAACCTTGACGTATGCCCCTCCCCCTTTTGAACCTGAGGTACATGTATATATGTTACCCTCTCAGAGACACCGAAATAAAAGCAGTGTAGAAAGATGTTCTAAACAAATGATAAAATGCGACCATTGGAAACATCTGATATATTGGACATTTGAAAGCTTTTCTTTGAATGTGTTTGTTTCCATATGGTGGTGTTATTTTTAAATTGTCAAAGATTGTTTCTTTCATTATAAGCTATAGTACAGACCTGATGTTGGGAAACGTGTATTAGCAATGTTTTCAGTCTTTTTTTTTTTAAATGAAGTTCATGGTAAGTCAAGGGTTAAGTATGACATCATTTTACTATTCTTAGAATTTTTCTTAAAACGCAAACATAACTGAGTTGTACATAGCGGTTAAGATTTTCTCCACTTTCAAATAATACGTTTCTGAATTATATCAAGTATTATCAAGCATTATTATTCTTAAGGCATATCCTGTTTTCGACTAATTGATTCACTATTCATAAAGATTTTTTTAAATTCCATTTTTATTGCATATAGTGCACACAGGCATATATATCAATACTATCAATACATGTAACAATACATTCAGATGAGTTTTAGTTAATAGAATTCTCCTTTATTTTGAAAGAAGAATATGTAGTGTACAAATTTTGATGACGTTTCTTATCAAAATTTTGTACAATTTATCATGTATAATTTTTGCACAAGCATTATAACTTTTTTTCGTTTTCAAGAACAACTAATTAAGCTGAGAATATTTTGATAAACTTAAAATCATGGTAAAACTAAAACTGAAAGTATTCCAGGAAAATCGCCAATTTCACACTTCATTCTCTATGTAATTTGATCAATATACTCAAGCAGAAATTATTTTGTTTGAAAAAAAAATCCTAGCATTGTACTAGATCTAAGTGAAGCTCTTGAATTTCCAACTTCCTTAATATGCAGAGTTGAATGCTCTTTGATCCTGCGAATTGAAACTCATGTATACAAAGTGAACATTAATTTGATCGCCATAAAAACTTGGCGTAACTTGTTTGGAAAATTTAGTATTTTCTTTATTTTTTTTATAGATATTTTTGACGTTTTCATTAATCATGGCGGTCCCTCATAAATTCGTGCCCTGTCTAGTCTGCATTGAAGACACCATTTCTGCTATGGTGAATTTGCCATCTATTGTGGCAATATATCACTTAATATGGGTGTTTCTAAAGATTTCTAAAATCTTATACGTGATATTTCATCATTTTGAAATCCATTTTTATCAAACGGCAAGTCAGAAATATAAATTTATTACAGATGTGTAGGCAATATAGAAGGCCATTCAGGGAGTAGGTGTGAAGTTGATCTTTAACTCATTTTTTCATGTTTATTTATTTTGACAATATAATCATCGGCGTAATTTTCCTATCGCCCACTCAATGCCGAAATCCTCGACAGATTTCGAAGAAATGATCGTACTTTATCGTTCTTTAAACACGATTTGAAATGAATTTCCAAACAGCAAAGGAATTGTGGTGTTAAATAAAAAAAATCTGACAAAATATTGTTCTATGCATGGTATTGTAAAAAAAAAAACAGTTGATGTATATTCTTATCCATATTTTTCAGTCACATCATTGGTTGATGGTACGCCATATCATCTAAGTTTATTTGACACTGCTGGAAATGTAAGTCATTTTGATAAAGTCAAACTATTCTTTATAACAAGATTCCATAGACCCCCCCCGTCTGTTAATTAATGCTCATTCTCTGATTTATTTTAGCACGATATGGTCCAGCTTCGATCTCTATCTTATGACAAATCAGACGTTGTGCTTGTTTGTTTCTCGTTGGCGGATCCACTCATGTTTGTGAATGTGGAGAAATTCTGGGTAAATGAGATCCGCTCCTTTCTTCCACATACCCCTTTTCTCCTTGTTGGTACTCACCTGGATTTAAGGGACCAACGATCTAGTGTAAGATTTCTGAATGATAAAATAGACATTAAGCATATAGCAACTTACAATATCACAATCACTTCCTAGTGTCTGAGGTACCGTTTTGGTATTTGCCACCATTAATTGACATCTCCTATTAAAATTGGTGATATCATCATTTTATATTCAATAGGCGATGTCACGTACCAAATCGAATAGGTGATATCACCTATTTATATCCAGTAGGCGATGTCACGTACCAAATCAAAAAGGTGATATCTATGGGGCGCCGATTTGGTATTGACTGCCAAAAAGTGATATCTATGGCACGCCAAATTCACAAAAATGAGATAATCATAGTTTCACAATCGATAAACTAGGTTTATCGGTTGTAAACTATAGTTTACAAACCGTAATCTATAGTTAACAACGTTAATCTATATTTCACATCTGTAAACCATAGTTAACGCGATAATCTATGTTTCACAACCGTAAACTATACTTAACACCGAAAACAATCATTTGCAATTGCAAAACATAGATTATCTGATAAATACAGTTTCACGATTTGTAAACTATAGTTTACAAACCGTTAACTATAGTTAATGATCTGATAAATATAGTTTCACAATTTGTGAAACTATGATTAACAACTCTTAACTATAGTTTACGATTGTAAACTATAGTTTACAAACGTGAATCTATGTTTATCAACAAAATCTATTGTTAACGCTTTATTACAGACAGATAAACTTAAATTAACATTCGTAAACTATAGTTAACAACCGTTAAATATAGTTTTACAGATGAAAACTATACTTAACGTTAACTATACTTAACGAATCGTTAACTATAGTTTATGGTTTGTAAACTATAGTTTACAGTCGATAAACCTGGTTTATCAATTGTGAAACTAGGTTTATCTCATTTTTGTGAATTTGGCGTGCCATAGATATCACCTATTCAGTTGATGATATCACTTATTCGAATAAGTGATATCACCTATTCAGATTTTGAATAGGTGATGTCACCTATTCGAATAGGTGATATCACCTATTCGAATAAGTGATATCACCTATTTGAATAGGTGATATCACCTATTTGATTTGATTTGAATTGATCACCTATTCGAAAAAGGTGATATCACTTATTCGAATAGGTAATATCACTAATTCGAATCGGTGATATCACCTAATTCCTTTCGAATAGGTGATATCATTTATTCGAATAGGTGATATCACCTATTCAATTTGAATAGGTGATATCATTTAATTTTAATCAATAGAAATTGTAGTTTGATTTGCACAAAATTAATTAATTTTACTTATCTATCATGTAAACTTTAAAAAAGTTAAACGCATGAAGACTAGGTAGTCCGAATTTTCTTGGTTCCAGTGGTACAAGTAATCTATATATTATTGGGAGCATTCATTATTTATTGTTGTAAGAAATTCAAATAGTTGATACCACCTATTCAAATTGGTGATATCACCAATTTAAATTGAATAGGTGATATCACTTATTCGAATAGGCGATATCACTATTCAGCACGAATAGGTGATATCACTTATTCGAATAAGTGATATGACCTTTTCGAATAGGTTATATCATCTACTGAAAATGATTAGGAGATATCACCAATTCGAATAGGTGATATCACCTATTCAAATAGGTGATATCACTTTTTGCCAGTAAATACTAAAACGGCGCCTCAAAGATATCACCTGCTTATATCCAATGGCTGATATCACCTAATGACGTCCAACAGGGAATGTCACCAGTTCGATAATTTGATATCATGTATATTCGAATAGGTGATATCACCTGTTTATTCCGAAGGAGTTTCATCACCAAAGTAATATGTAAAGTGATATCACTAGTCGGCGATTGATTCCAAAACAGAGCCTCATACTACGAGGGGTGATCAAAAAGTTCGCGAACTAATTGAATAACTTCCATAAAAGAAACAATATTTGGTTTCAATGTTGATTATATTTTAAATTAATCCTTTCCGTTTTTAATGCACATCAACCACTATTCTGCGCATGCTCGAATCACGTGATATTGGCGGTCACGTGACCCCCTCCGTAGCGCTCTGTCCTAAAAGTTGAAAGATTTTTCTGTGTTTTATATTACTTTCCATTTAAGTTAATTTTTATGACAAGAACAGTTCATTTGTCAGAAATGGTCAAATTTCGGCAACAGAATGGGTGGATAAGAATATCCTTTCCAAAAATAAGCATGGCGACCATTAAAACACAAATCTTCTGTCTCGAGAGATACCTTTATACAAGGTGGATAGAGAATGGGTTCCTCCTTTTTATCATATCTAATATGTTTAAAATCTAAAATAAAGGATATCTTAGGCATTTAATAATTATATTATTGTTCAAATATTCAACTATTTTTCAAAGTGTAAATTGGAGGTCTTTGATAGCAAATTGCTTAATTAAAAACACATGTCTTTTCAAACTTGCTTTCACTGGGCAAGATGACAAGTATCATTTTTAACCATCTGCCTTCCCTCACTAAAACCATCAATCCAATCATTAATTGAATTTATAGGAACTCATTTATCTTAATTAACCGTGTACAAATTATTATCTGATACTGCAGAGGGATTTCTAATTAAGATATACAAAAAATTGTACAGTCGTTTGTTGATCGTGTTCGACTGAGACAACCATTTTTCGTCACAAGTGACCTACATAGTAACGTCATTTTCACATTGTGACGTCACAAACAAGGAGAAAAACTTTATTCAGCATACGCTATTTATAGACATTGTGTGTGGCTATGTGTGTACCGAATTTCATTCTAATCTGAATTGTGGTTTTGTAGATATAGAGATAGTTCGCGAACTTTTTGATCACCCCTCGTATTGCAACATAGTAATCATCATTTCTTTTTTTAAAAAAAGTATCAACGTCACATTTCCCTCTTTATTATAGTAATTATTCTAACTAATAAGGATATAATGCATTTTTTATGGGAAGAAACTACATACGGTAGGTACACTATAATGCAGCACAATGAACTGTAGAGTTTTGATATATGTATTTTCAGACAGCAGGAGAAAATCTTGTTGTCTCAGACATTGTGATTCCCAGAACACGTGTTGCGGATATGGCGACTCGTCTAGGCACCGCGGGATACGTCGAGTGCTCCTCTAAAACTGGTGAGGGGATAGAAGAGTTAATCAAGGAACTAGTAGTGGCTGCCCACTTCCGGCCAAAAGAAAATACGTCAAATGACTGTTGCTGCTCTGTGATGTAAACTTTGATGTTAAATTATATGCATGTATATTTTTTCTATAAAAATTGTAAATAAACTGATAATTTATATGAATAGATTACCAGAAACTGGTTAACACTAATGTGATTTTTTTTGGTAATTATACTGTTTCATGATATTCGGAAGACAAACGGATACAAGCAAATTACTACCGAATATACTCATCAGTGAGGAAAGAAAAGAGGCTTTGATAGCATTTGATTACCGTTAATATGGTCGGCGGTCTTAGAATGTGTAGTAATGAGTCCATTTAGAAATTTGCGCCTAAATAAGGCGAGGTGATGAATGTTATAAAACATTTTGTCAAGATACTCACAACAGAGATGATTAGGAATGGATTTTTATTCCATTCTGTATAGAGGCTGAATTTGTAAAGATGTTTCAATGTGTCACCGTAAAAGGTCGCAAGCTTCACGCTTAACGATAGAATGCATGCGACTTGGTTAAAGTGTCAAAAGGGTGCTTAGTTCGAGTATATATTTCTAAATTAATTTCCCATGCAATAATCCCGAATGTTATCTCCAAAGCTTGTTAAATTTTAAAAATTAAATATAATCTTAACGATTTGCGAAAAGAGAGTTTTATATCAGATTACAAAGCTGGCGTTACCATCCACCCTTACCCCGTGAAAATCAAATGACCACATTAAATGCAGGCGAATTAAAATTGGTCAGTATCTTGTTCTTGGTTCAGACACATGATGCAAAAGAAATCTGTAGTTAGTTAAAACTACGTCGATGACCGTCAACAGCAGACAAATTGCATATTGTACAATGTAAACATACTTTAAAATACTTTTGCAACGCACTAGAAAGGGGTATCTTTGGTATCCATCTTTCTTAGAGATCTGAAGGTCTGGAACTAGAAAAAAATGAGACTGCTTAATCTCCCAATAATATTGCTCCAGAGAGAGATGAAAAATTTTATGGAGACAAGTCATTGTTAACAATTTAAGGGTATCGTCCTTTTCCAAGTAATATCAGATAGCTACTTTTTCTCCCTCTTTCCGAAAGGCATTATACGAATGGTCATCGACTTCAATATGCATTACTTTAATGGCTTGAAGACATATTTTAACAGATATAAGAAAGAATTAAAATTTTTTTACTTGTAAGTTCCTTGAACTGTATGAACTAAAATAGCGAACATCCCAAATAGAGATGGAATTTTGGCAAACTACATTTTGTAAGTGACGCAATTTTCCAGACTCTTATGACGTATTTTTTCCGTGAGTACATATTCCTTTGGGAGTTCGGAGAAACCAGGTGAAGCTTGACAGTTTGTTCTTTCAAACTGTTTCATTAAAACAGAAGCGAGAAAGCTCTTCAAACACTTCCCTATAGAAGGTCTTCAAAGCATGTTCGTATTTACATTGTCATCTAGTATAAGGCTTAAAATATGTGTCGTTATAATCATCAAAACGTATATTCCCCTGTGTCTGTCTTGTTTATTTGATTATATGATAATAATTAAAAATGTACTCATTTGACATCAAAAAACGCAGAATGTTGTCGTAATTTGGTATTTTATTGCGGTCTCTAGCGTAATAAAGGAGACTAAGTTCTCTGTAGTGTCGACAAATATTTACTCAAATTTCCACTGTAAGTACAAGCTACGATTCACTCACAATCATCATGAAAATTTACAACTTGGCTATAATGAACTGTACCTCTGAAACTAAAGAAAATGAATATTTATTTATTAGTTTAGTACATATGAAAAGGATAAATACATTCAATACTCATTAATTTCACTTTTGCATAATAAGGTTTTTAACTTTGTATATTTTACTATAAAAGACGTTAATGGTAACCTAACAACAAAACGGAATAACTTTTCTATCTTCGTCTTTTCTTACCTATGTAGGAATAAACCCCTAGCACCTATGTATGGGGCTTATGTCTCTCAGCTCATTTAATACATAAGAACATGCAATACATTTGGACAAATTTTGAAACGAGGTTAGCTACCGACAAACAAGTTGATGAAACAAGACTATCAGCAGCCACATTTAAAGTCATCATTTTGCTAATTCTATGATCGATAAAATAATCTCGGCAAAAAAAATCTATCATTGGACCGAATGATGACGAAATGCTAATTATATCTTCATTTACGCATGGAATTGTGTACGGATTTCCCCGACCATGTTACGGAGCACACGGCGGTGTGAACGATCGGCAGTGGATGTTCACTCCCTCATGACACCTGATCCCACCTCTGATGTTTTAGAGGTTCGTGTTTGCTCTGCTCCTGATTTGTATTGTTTTGATGGATATTTGAGCTTGATTTCTATTCGTTGTCTCTCTCTCTTTCTCTCTCTCTCTCTCTCTCTCTCTCTCTCTCTCTCTCTCTCTCTCTCTCTCTCTCTCTCTCTCAAACATTTTGACACGCATCGAATGTTGAAAAAATGAAATTTTATTTGGTGCTTAAATGCTAGCATGCTAATTGATACCATTTCAATTTGAGCATTATAAAAGATAATAAAGCATTTATAAGTTTTATCGTGTAAAGAGCTTAATTGCATTTGACAAAGCATATTATTCGAATATAGATTTAGGTTCAAAACAGTTATCTAATGTTTGCGATTAATGATTTGATGGAAATACAGTTTATGCTATCATTTTAAACTAGCGGGGGAGACTGAGGGGAATTAAAGCTGCCAAAATCCAGCAAGCGTTAATGGAGTAGGGGGCGATACTTTAGAGGGGGAAAATCAAGACCATTTTAGGTAAAATGTTGACTAATCAAGGACAAGGAATTCCATAGAGAATTTTTTAAACAATCATTGTTGTTTTTAGATATCTATATATAACTTTGCGACCAAAATTTAATTCACTTTTCTGGTAAGACTAAGCTGAAATATTTACATAAGTTTTGGGAATACATATTCAACTTATAATTTTATAGCTTAAATCGCTATCATACATGAATTCCGCAATACACCTACCACATTCATTTGTAAGGCAGTACTTATTAAGCAATGAAATGCTTTCTTCGTTTGTTAGTTCGGAAATTAACGTTGCAGCTATTGCAGACTTTTTAGAAATACTAAATATGTACATTGTGTTATATTTGTTAAAAATGATGACATGGAAGTAATAAATGCTGTTTTCATTTCGATTTAAGGAAAAAAGGTAGATTAAATCCTTTTCTTCTCATGTAGAAGTTTTATCATGACGATTTGATAGTAGTGAAGAAGAAACTTAAGGAGTACTGTACAGCATATATTCGAGAAGTGATGTCAGATGAGTATATCTAAAAATCCAAAGAACGTTTGTAAAATTTGAAATCACAAACTTTTACCAAAAATAATTTAAAATTTACGACTTTTATTATGTACATGATTTTCCCCAAGGTAAAAGGAACTACCAGGCCCAACTAATATAGTTTTGTTTTCATTTTAGTAAAATGTATATCATTTATTGATTTTTTTTTCTCAAAATTTGCAGATAATAACACTTTTGTTAAACAATATGGAAAAATAGTGAAACTTTGGGCTGCTTGCCTTCCACAACATCTTAGTGAAACATAAAAATCTGACTTAAGCTTAAGGTGTTTCATGATCCAGGGGCCTTTTGACATCACTGACAGCTGCTTTTTCAATGAAAAACTCGTAATTGTAATCTTATTGGTCATTTGTTATTTTCAAAAATTAAAATTTAAGAAAAAAACATTCTGGTTGTACACACAAGTATTCTGCATTGATATTGATAAAATGCTTGAGTCTCTGATTGATAATATTCATGTATTTTTTGGAGACCAGGTCTTCCAACAACCTGTCTGAATTCCCAGTGGTAACAATTTCGACCTGTTATTAGCAGACTAATTTTGTATTCACTTGAAGCAGAATTTAGTCAAAATCTTAGACATCCGAAGAAGGAAACATTTGTCGTAGTAGGCTTTCAACTAGACATTTAGATTTATAGACGACGTATAATATCATTTTATAGCTGTTACTTTCATTCATATGTCGAGACATAAGCGCTTGAAATAAAGATAGCAGAGAGTCTGACACATTTATTTCATATTTGAATCATATTTGAATATTTTATTAGAAAAAGACTTTCATGGTAACCTTCCAGCAAAGCTTTATGATAAACGTAGTGAATTCAACTTTTCAATCGTCAATTTCCCTCACTTAGGTACATGTATCTATCCGTATATCCTTATCACCTGTATATGGGATTTCTGTCGCTCAGTTGATTCGATACGCAAGGGCAAACAATATAAATCTATGAAGAATGCATAAAACACGGACTCCTGGATATTTTTGAGTTGGGACCAGGTATCAAGGAGGAGAAAACATCCACTGTTTGTTGACCGGTCACACCCGCCGAGAGCCCTATATATTGATTTGGTAGACGGAACATACCGTGGTTAAATTCAGTGTGAAAACAAAGGCATAATAATTAATATGAAACAAGTTAAACAAGTTCTTTATATCGACCATAAACTTTACGAAAAAACGACTTTAAACAAGGTTTTTGACCTCTTTGAAACGTCATTTTACCTGTCGGAGCATGTTCTTGAGTACCGAATAAGTTTGGAGATGTAAACCCCATATGTAGGTGATTGCAAGATATTACTACATAAATACAATGGAAATGTTGACGTCATCTACTTAGTCACACTATAGTCGTTAGTTGGCCCTTGCATCCAAATATGAAACATATGGAAGCCTATTTGGTGTCTTTTATATCAAGTTCACTGGGATATTATATGGAATCGAAATTAAAGTAACTATTCTTAATTGATTATACATAGTCAGTATATCTAATGTCGAGCTGAAGGCCACAATTTTTTTCCCTCTTCATATACAAGTTTTATCTGAAATACAATATAGTGTAAATACTTCAAAAGGATCATTCTCTTTCTGCATTAGAGCTAAAACTATACTTCTATTATTCAATAAATTCTTCACGGTAAATATTTATTGTACAAATCCAAACCTTCAAAAGATTTACCCAAATTAGTTAACTTAATTTGCCCAATAACAGCTGAGACTCGAAATCCAATCGAAAACAACATGGTATGTAGCTTTTAAATACAGTGGTCG